AGGCTGTGCTGAGGGACACCCCCTCGCCCCCAGTGCACGAAGTTTGTACACTGGGCCTCTAGTTGTAAATAACGCTGCCCTGAACATAGCTATACAAATATCTGTCTGAGTCTCTGCTTTTAATTCTTTCGAGTACATCCCCCAGGAATGGAATTGCTGAGTCACATGGGAATTCTGTGTTTAACCTTTGGAGAAACTGCCAAAATGATTTTCCTTCTTCTGACTTTTAAATCAAAGGTCTTCACTAGACAACAGTTACATGTAATGCTCAACTGCACTTTCCAGGAAAGTGCTATTGGTGAACATCGCCCACTGCCCTATGCCATGGTTTCTACATGAAACCGCATGAGGGAACCTTTCCTCTGAGGATCAGAATTCCAGGATGGGTCAGGACTCAGGCATGGAGCTTGCAGCCCAATCTGAAGCCTGAATAATCATCGTGGGTCCCGTGCCCACACCCCTTGGCAACACCCTGTGTCATTTCTAGTCACTTGGGCCTGACTTCCAATGGCTACATCTTTGCCACTGTGCTACCCTGTGCTGTCCGTGCAAAATCAGGCCTGAAGCACCTGGGAACCATAGGCTTGTGTTTCCCTGCTCTCCAAGCGCCTTTTACCCGATTGCTGACAGATGTGGGTGTATAAAGATTCTCCCGGCCCCTGCTCCCGGCTCCCGTGCAGCCTGGGAGCTTTCTGGGTCAGGAGCTTTGCACTGCTGTCCAGCGTCCACATGGGATTAAGTACAGAAACACCTAGTTTTACTGTGCTTCGCTTTATTGTGCTCCATTTTTTAAAAAAGGTTACAACTTGCTTTATCGTGATTCCTGCTTTATTACGGTGGTCTGGAACCGAACTCGTAATGTCTCCAAGGTCTGCCTCTACCAGTTGCTCACTGGTTCCTGCCTCATACATCCCTATATGGACTTATGTCCCCCTCTACCTGCCTGTATCCCTTGCACCTGCCAATCAACTGCTTGAACTCAAATTCTTGGCTTGGGCTCTGCTTCTGAGGGAACCTAAACTAAGACAAAGCTCCTCCCAGCAACTTTCAGGACCTGTTTGCTTTCCACATTTCTGTTCTTTTTCCTGATTCTGAAGTTTTACTTACATTCAATGATTGTTTTACTGCATGCTTTCTTGTTGGGTTATCTCAAAGTCTATGCATTATAAAGGACGGTGGAGTTGATTTTTAAAAGAAAAACACCACCATATATAATAATCTATAATAATAAAAGCATAATGTGCTAATTAAACTGGACAGCCAAACAATCTTCTGGATATCATCCCGGATGTCCTTCCAGATGAAGCCTCGGAGCAGGGGCGAGGCAGAGGCAGAGGCAGTTAGGGGCAATCAGGCAGAGTCCGCTAGGGGCAACTAAGCAGGCAGGCGAGCAATCAAGGGCAATCAGGCAGGCAGGCAGAGTGGTTAGGGGTGATCAGGCAGGCATGCGAGTGGTAAGGGGCAACCAGGAAGGCCAGCAGGCAAGAGAGCAGTTAGGAGCCAGCAGTCTGGATTGCGAGAGGACTGTCCGACTGTCAGTTTAGCCTAATGGGAAGTCAGACATCCCCTGAAGGGTCCCAGATTGTGAGAGGGTGCAGGCCAGACTGAGACACCCGCCCCCCATGTATGAATTTTGTGCACTGGGCCTCTAGTCCTATATAATAAAAGGCTAATATGCAAATTGACCCTAACGGTGGAACGACCAGTCGTTATGATGTGCACTGACCACCAGAGGGCAGACACTCAATGTAGGAGTTGCCCCCTGGTGGTTAGTGCTGCTCAGCCACAAGCTGGCTGATGGCTGTGACCACAGTGGTGGTGGTGGGAGCCTCTCCTGCCTCCTCTCAGGCAGCACTAAGGATGCCTGACTGTGGCTTAGGCCTACTCCCTGCGGGAGTCAGACATCACCCAAGGGCTCCAGCGCTGCCAGAGGGATATCTGACTGCCAGCTTTGGCTCGCTCCCCAAGGGAGTGGGCCTGAGCTGGCAGGCGGACATTCCCGAGTGGTCCCACATTGCAAGTGGGCACAGGCCGGGCTGAGGGACCCCCTTCCCCCGTGCATGAATTTTTGTGCACCAGGCCTCTAGTGTAACGTGATGATTAAAATACCAGATAAATGGTTCACAGAATGAGATCCCAATTTTTAAAACTACATATGCACATACATGTGTGCATAGGGCAAAAAGAACTCAAAGGAATGCATCAAATGCTAACCATGGTTACAGATGGTGTAACTTTTTTTTTTTCTTTATACTTTATTTTACAAAGAACATGAAGCTTTAGTTTCCCTATCTATAAAGTGGAAATAATCTTATCTACCTCATGGAGTTGTGTTGATCGAATTAGCTGCATCACATATTCACACAATAATCATAGTATGTGCCTAATGTGTATTCCAATAAAGGGTAGCAAGTGTGTTATTGCTGCAGCAACTCGTGAAACAGTTTAAAAGGAAAGGTTGGAAATATAAAAATAAGCCAATATATAGTGCTTTGTACTTTTTAAAGAACTTTCATTAGATGAGCTTACCGTCCCTCACAAGAACCCTACATTAAGGGAGCGACTTACGGGGAGGGGTGGGCAGGAGCAGGGACTGACATCTACTGCACAGGTACGCGGTGAGCACCTGCCGACAGTTCGGATGGGAGGGATGGGGCTCCCAACATCTGCCAAAGCGGCAGAAGAAAAACCAACAGCGCCGATTCCGGATGCCCTGCCCAGTTTCCTTCTGTTCCACCAGGCTCCTTTATCAAAACTGAGCCTCTTACACGCTCAGCCATCCAAGACTTTCTCCGTTCCTAAGGCATTGCTGTTCGCCAGCCTATCAACACACTCTGTTCCTTCCCAGGTCCTTGTCCAAGGGGATTATAGGGGATGGGGCACAGGACGGGACAGGACGTGTGTAAGGTGTGTGTCGGGGGCGAGGATGTAGCCCCCCAATCTCCTATTAAAAGAACACATAACTATTCTAGCGAAATAAAAACCCGGTACTTGCTTTGCAAACACAGCAGAGTCAAGGGAAGTTCCGTGGCAACACTTGCCAAGCAGTTTGCTCCCCCGAGTCCTACCTACATACAAATACTGGGCAGACTCCTGCGATGGGATGTGGGAGGCGACACAGTGCGGGACTCAGGGCATTCTGCTAAGAGAATTCTGCGAGGAATGTGGGCTACCAGCTCAGCGCCCGTGTTCTGGTCATCACAGAGAATGCGGGCAGTTTTCCTTGCCGGACCCCCAGTTATTGTGGTATCTCACTGGCCTGCTGACGGGCAGGGCCACCAGGGACAGGAGGTGGGGATGGGGCAGGGCTGTGAGCCAGGCAGTTCAGGACAAAGCATTTCAGGTGCGGCCTGTGCATCCCGTCCCTAACCGTCCCCTAACCGCCCCGTGCTCTTCACCTGTCCTCCTCTTCACCCACAGAAGCCCTGGGCTTCTGGACTGACCTTGGGACGCCTCTCCTGACCAACCAGGCCTGAGGCCAAGCTCTGTTACATGTGCTCCTTCCCCTGGCAGAATGGCTACGTAAGGAGGCCTCGTGTGGGAGCTTCGGGGAAGTTCGCCTGGTCGCCCGCCTCGCTGACAAGCTCTCTTGCTGGTGCCTGCCCCTTGGGGTGCCACTGAGAGCCTGGGCCACTCCCTTTCAGAGTAGCCTTTCAGAGCTCCCTCCTCTGCTCCGGCTCTTTTCTGTCTTCAAAATTTCTACAGCATCTTCCCCAAACCCCTTATCACTCGATTATGTTTCAAGGATGAGTTATCTTTAGAAAGGTGGTGCAGATATCCAACTTCTCCCTTCTGCTGGGAATACAGGCATAACTGGCTATAGCCAGTTTGTTCAGAAACTTTCAGTGGCTCCCAACGGCCTCTAGATAGGTCCTAGCTCCTTAGTAAACATGAAAGAGGCACTCCCGCCCCATTAGCCAGGAGGCCTTCATAGTTATTCTACAGACCGGCGGTCACCAACCGCTGGTCCCCACACCACCGGTGGTCCGTGAAGTCCGAAAGGTTGGCAGCCGCTGCTGTAGACCAGGGGGCCGTTGAGTGCAATTCTTTCCTCCTTCCAGATACAAAACCCAAACCGTACCTAACACCACGGGGTTAGCCCCAAGGCCACTTCTCCCTCAATTTTTCAGGGAAGGAAACAGTTTCCATTCTCATTAGCATGTTGCCTGACCTTCAATCTGGTGTTCAATCTAATTTTCTCTGTAAACTTGAAGTTAAGGATGGACTCTTTATCTTATATTTTGTTCAATCTCACCTGAGAATATTTTCGCATTCATTTTTAGAGATAGTAAGAGAAAGGGAGATGATGAGAGAAGCATCGATGTGAGAGACACATCAACTGGTTGGTTGCCTCCTGCATGCAACGGGGCCAGGGCCCGGAAACCTGTAACCAAGGTACATGCCCTTGAACCAGAATCCAACCTGGGCCCCTTTGGCTTGTTGGGGGCCTATGCTCTAACCCATTGAACCAAACCGGCCAGGGCAAGAACAGCCTCTTCTTAAACGTGGGCTCCGTTCCCTCGCCTTGTGAGTGGTACTAACTCAATCTACGTTTACAGGTCCCTGCCGCCATGGGTAAGCTTTCTTCCTCAAGTTCCACGAATCCGAGCCATGTCTTCTCAACTAGCCTGAGCATCTCCCAGAGCAGAGAGCCTCCAACGTAAGGACCATTCAAGTTCCCCGGGTCCTTTGTTAATAGCGGATTCTGACTCGGGGCGGGGGGAGAGGGGAGAGCAGAGGAGGGGCTGAGACTCTGCCTTTGTAACAAGCTCCCAAGCGATGCAAATGCAGCTGGACCCCATTTAGGGAAGCCGCCGGCAAGCGATACCACCTGCGGGCCAGGTGACAGCTCACCCCGGGGTGGGGGGGGGCAGCCTGCAGAGCGGCGGGTGAACGGGACGGAGGTGGAGAAGCGCCGGTCCCCACCCCTGGAAGCGCCGGGTGAGGTGCCAGCGAGCCCCGCCGCGTCCCCGCCGCGCCCCCGCCCGCCGCGCACGTACCGATGGTGGACACCACGGTGCCCACGAAGTAGAAGGCGCCGGTGAAGTCCCAGCGCGGGCGGGTGTGGTCCACGCGCACGCCCGCCTCGGCCGCCTCCTCGTAGTGGCGGAGGAAGCCGCGCAGCTCGCCGCGGCTCAGGTTGTGGCGGCGGCCGAAGTCGGCCAGGCGCTCCTCCCAGCGCTGCTTGGCCTGGCGCTCGTGCGCCAGCTCCAGCGCCGAGAACACGGCCGCGCCGCCCAGCAGGTAGAGCGCGATGAGCGCGGCCAGCAGCAGGAAGCGCGCGTTGTCCTCGCTCAGGTGGCCCGGGCCGCAGCCGCAGCCGCAGCCCCGGCAGGCCATGGCCGGGCCCCGGGCGACCCCGCCGGACCCCGGGCTGACCCGCCGGGCGGGCGCTCAGCTCGCTCCCCGCCGCCCGACGGCCGGCTCAGCCATGTCCGCGGGGCGCTCCCCCCCGGGCCCGCGGCTCCCGGGGCCGCCGCCGCCGCCGCCGCGGCCGGGGCTGCGGAGCCAGCTCCCCACGTCCGCCCAGACTCCTAGTTTCAAATCCGCTTTTCGCCGCCGCCGCCGCCGCCGCCGGTGGGTTCTCCAAACGCCGACGGTCCGAGCGGGAGGACGCAGAGCCCGCTGCTGCCGGGCACGGGGATGCGGTGCGTTCCCGCCCCGGCGCCGCCGCCGCGGAGGCTCAGACTGGGGAGGGGGCGTGGCGCGGCCTCAGGGCAAACTCCCGCGGAGCTGCCTGTTCCCCAGGGCGGGGGTCAGGGGGGGGTGCGGGGAGGCTGGCGGGGGTGGAGGGTGGGGTGGGCGGAGCCCCGCGGACCCGGTCTCTGGGACCCTAGTTTCTCCAGCCAACGGCTGGGACGCGGGGTCGCAGGGGGCTGGCTGGCTTTGCAGGTGGATCGGGGATGCGTCCCGGTCGTGGCGTCGCTCAGCTCCGGAGCCCCAGCCCCATCGGGTCCCCGGCGGGCCCGGCGGCCGGACCTGGAGGCTGGAGCAGCTCCGGGCGGGCGCACCTACGGGCCTGTGCCGTTTCCACCGCCCACCCACCCGGCCCCCGAGCGGGGCGGCATCCGGCGGGCCGCGCCGCTGGAGGAGGAGACAGAAAGGGAGGTGGGAGTGAGGAAGCGGAGGAAGTTCGGGGAGTCGCCCCGGAGGCCTCCCTCGCCTGGCCCGGAGCCAGGGCGCCCTTGGCCTCGGAGCCCGGCGCGGGGGCGTCTCCGCCTCCAGGTGCTGGTTCTGCGGGAGCGAAGCGAGCGAGGCAGCCCCGGGCCCCGAGAGGCTGCCGGGGGTTCGGGGCCCCGCTGCCAGGAGACCGTGACCCCAGAGAGGGGCATCTCTTCTATCCAGAGGGCCCTCTCCTCTGCCCGGACTTGGGTGCGCCCCAGAGATTTTGCGCCCACAGGGCTCCGCGCGGTGCTCCCTCGCCCTGTGCAGACCGGCGGCACGGCCTTAGGTACCGCCTGGGGCAGGGGCCTCCCTGAGACCCTGCCTTTCAGCGGGCGTCGGCGCTGCGGCCCGCCCCAGCCTCACCTCCCGGGGAGAGTCCCTCGCTGGGGTCTGTCCCCCGTCCCCTCCTCGCTGCGGCCCTGCCCTGCGCTCTGCCCGGCTTTGCCGACGCTGCAACAGGTGCAGCTGCGCGGCTGCCGGCGCCAGTGCCCGCGCCTCCACCCCGCCCGCCGCCTCTCGGACGCGCGGGGCCGCCCCGATGCCCGGCTCCCGGCGGGCCCTCTGGGGGCTACGGTTCCCCCACCCCGGGCGCCGCGCAGACAACGAAGTGGGTGCTGAGGAGGCGGGCCCAGCGCTGGTCGGGCTGTGTGGGCTCCTCACAAGCCAGAAGGGGGAGCTCCATCCCTTCTAGACAGCTCGCCCCCACCCACCAGCCACCCGCTGCTCCCGGAATCACCAGCCCCTGAAACGTGGGAGTGAATATGGATCCGTAAAGGAATAGACGTGGGCACCTTCGAGCGAAGCAAGGTTTCTCCACCTCCCAAATGGGTTGTTTCAGGCTCAAAGCCAAACCGCCCACCTACACTCCCCAGGAGCAGAGGAAAAACCCCCACAGCTCTGGCTTCCAATATTCTGCCACCAGAAGCCCCGATGCTTCGAGTGTTCCTCTCAGGCCCAGAACGCCCTTTTATCTAGCCTGTTGGGGGATAGTGGCTAGGGGGTCATGTGTATACACTATGGGTGAGTTCTGCAACTACTCCCCTCGCTCCCATTTTATTATGAAAAATTTCAAACTAAGTTGTAAGAAATGTACAGTGAACACCCGTATACTCACCACCTTGATTCCACAATGAACACTTACTATATTACCCATCCCTCTTCTCATCCATCAACCCATCTGGTTTAAATGCATTCAGAGTAAGTTTTGTAGACATCAGTACATCCCCCCTCTCTCCCAATACTTCTCCCTGCATATCATGAGTTCAGTATTTATTTAGATTTTTTTTTTCTTTTACACACAGTGAAAAGCAAAAATCTTAGGTGAATCATTAGAGGAATTCTGACCGCAGCCAGCTGTGAGACTGGGAGCCAGCTGTGAGACCAGGAGGACATCCTGAACCTTTCTGGGCCTCAGTTTCACTGTGATTTGAAGGCACACAACTGGGTCACCTTTTGGGATTTCTTCCGAGTAAAACACTTGTGTGCTTTCGTATGATTTGTGAGGCGTCTTTGCTAGGAATCTTTGGGATTGGATGGAAGACATCCACGCAGCTTGGAGAACAGGTGAGGTGACGGCAGGTGGCCCCAGCCACCAGTGAGCCCCACTGCAGGCAGTGAGATGGCCGGCCTGGTGCTGGGAGGATGGACAGCCTCGGGACACTGCTGGGCTGGGGGCCACATGGCTCACCGGTCTGCAGGGCAGCCCACCAGCCTCAGCATCAGGCCTGGAATCTGCATACTCGGGCCCTCGATTCTGACACCCCCGAGGCGGAGAGAGGGCTGGGTGGGAAAGCAACCTCCCCCCCCCCCCCCAAGACACATACATGGTCAACCCTGGATTCAGAAGGGCTGACACCATCACGAGGTTCCAGTCACTGCCAGGAGAACTTCATATCTATGTTCTTTTCACATTGACATTTAATAGCCTTCATTCCAAAGTGCAGCATAGAAAAGGGAATTAAGAAAATAGAACCTTTTATTTTTTTTAGTGGGAAGTGTTAACAATGACTTCTACAACTATAACCAACATCCATGTTCCAGAGTGATTTCTTGGAGGGACGTGAACACCCAGTACCAACAAGGACTCCAGTGTTTGGGGCTCCACGCCTTACACTCAAGGTTCACAGAGCTTCACCCCTCAGGACGGGACCCACATGTTCCCGTGTGTGTCTGGGGCTTTGACATAAGGAATGTTCCAAATCCATGGCCGATCTGGGGGAGAAAAACACATCACATTTATTTAATACTTATTTGCCTAGGATCACCGAGAATCCACGCAGCAGCTCGGATAAAACCACTCAAGTGCTGCAGTTCTGAATTGTAAAGAATCTTTTTTGAACCAACCCCGGACCTTAGCCCATTTCAGAGAATGGTTTTTAGTAAAAGTTCGATTAAGACTTGGGCCAGTGACCACAGAAACAGGAAGCCCCAGGTGCATTCTGGTTGCCACTCACACTGACAAGTCGCTTCACCTCTCCAAGCCTCAGTTTCCCTATCAGCATGTCCGTCATGGGCTGTCATGAGGTTAAATGAGACAAATCCATGTGGTGTGCAGGACAGTGTCCAGCAGAGAGAGCACCTAACACCTGTTCAAGTCCCGCTTCGCCCTCCTTTGCACGCCCGGAAGCAACTGGAATTTGGCCTCGGGTTCCTCACCTGTGAAATGGGAACTGGTAACTGTAGCAACCTTGGGAGGTGGTTGTGGAGCGTGAATGACAAACACCTGTGAGTGTTACAGATGCTCAATAGACGTGAACTTGTCTTCCTCCCCGGGAACCGATGTGTCAGAAATGGAGAAAATCTGAACACTCCCTGCGTGCACATATCACTGCTGCCTGAGTCAAACCATTTCAATGAACGGCAGGGGTCCAGGTAGGGAGTAAATACAATGTAAGGACCAAAAATAAGGCCTCATGTGACTGTCCTGGTGAGTATGAGAGAACAATTCGGCGAGCTGATAGTGAACAGGACGCTGAGCAGGTCTGCGGAGACGGACCGGCCCCTGAAACCTGCTCTGCCCTGCCAACAGCCTTCCCTCTTCCCCCAGAGACAGATGGCAGCTCGGGGCGCCTGGCAATCAGTGGTACCTGCTGCTCTCCTGCCAGCCGCACTGTGCTGAGAAATCGCAGAGCGAGCAGTTAAACAGCAGGAAAGCCCTGGTGGGTAGCTCAGTTGGTTAGAGCATCATCCTGACACACCAAGGTTGCGGGTTTGATCCCCGTTCAGGGCGCATACAGGAATTAAACAATGAATGCACGAATAAGTGTAACAACAAATCAGTCTCTCTTTCTCCCTCCCCCTTCTCCTCTCTAAAATCAATTAAAAATATATAAATATATAAAAACAGCAGGAAAAAGATGGTAACAAGTTATCACACCCCTGTTCTCTTCCCCCTAGCCTTGCGATGGTTTGAAAGCATGAAACCACACACTTTTTTTTTGCTAATAACCAAGCTTGTGAGAGAGCCCGTGTCACATGCTGGTTTCACAGAGGGTGAGGGGCTGGCGGGGCTGGAGCCAGACTCCCCACCACTCTCGGGCCTCACCAAACCCCGCCCTCTTCCCTCAGAGCCCCGTCTTCTGCAGCTGGACTTCTCCGGATCACTGGGCTCTCCCTGCAAACGCTGCTGGCTGCCCCCAGGTCTGCTTCACCCCCAAGACGGAGGACACCTGGTTCTTGCTACCTGAGCAGGTACTAGAGATTCCTCACCAATGCAGGGTCTGTGCGCCACCACCTGCCAGCAGCCGGGAGGGTCAGGCCACCACTGCATTTCCTCCTCCTCCGAAATTAGCCAGCCACCAGCGGCCCTGCCCGTGAAACCCCGACGCTCCGCTTTGTGAGTGAGCAACCACCTGCACCTACAGGCCGTCACTCCTGGGGGAAAGCCACAAACAGGGCCACCAGGAGAGGTGAAAAGGGGGGTGATTCTGTCTTTTTACCCATCACTACTGGCAATCAGCATTAATCAGCAATCCGCCCCAACTGTCTATCTATCTCATCAGGAGAACTCGCCTCGTGATCCAGTCATGTGTGTATCTGAGATATTGCTGAGTGCCGGGTAGATAGCAAGTTCTCTGCTAGACAAAGCTGAGGCCCACCCAGTTTCCAGTCCGATGGGCAGAGGAACTAGCAGGCATCCATGGTGCCGGGATTCTGTACTTTGCCGTGTCTGCATATCTGGCACAAAAACTGCCTGGGTAGTTCCCTAACCCGGCTGATGTGAGAATCACTCACCCCCAGAAAGCTTGTTTCAATCCCCCCCCCCCCCCCCCCCGCCCTCCAGGCTGGGTCCTGGTGACATGCATTTTATCAAGTTCAAAGGTGATCTTGACCTAGCTGTGTGGCTCAGTGGGTAGAGCGTCAGCTTGCGGACCAAGGGATACTGGGTTAGATTCCGGTTAAGGGCACATACCCCGGCTGCAGGCTCCTCCCTGGCCTGGGCCCTGGTCAGGGCTCGTGCAGGAGGCAACCGATCTATATGCTTCTCTTACATCGATGTTTCTGTCTTTCCCTCTCTCTAAAAATCAATGGAAAAATATCCTCAGGTGAAGATTAAAAAAAAAAGGTGATCTTGACTGGGATCCCAGGCTAAGAGATGGGAAGCTGTCCTTTTTCTGGATACGACGAGAGGATTTAAAACTGGAGCATGGCAAAACCAGGTATGCATGGCAGGGGCATAGATGGCCCAGCGGGAGGAGGCCAGAGCCAGGGAGGTGACAAGCCACAGAGTGTAGGTGAGACATGAGGAGGCCACCCTGAGGCCACGGCAGGGGGCTGGGTGAGGGGATGGGCTATGGGGCTCCCTGTGTGAATTCCTATCCCATCTCACCTGTGGTCAGGCACTGGTGAGCTGGGGTAGGAATTTCCACCCCTTTGAAACTCTCCAACTTCGCCCTCCATGGGGAGGCGCTTCAGTGCGCAGGAACCAGACTGCCCAGGAGGCCTTGGCTGGGTTAGCTGGAGTTCGTGGGGTTGGGGTTAGGGCTGCTCATCGGTAGTAGCTGTATCAGTGTAGTGAGCACTCAATGAATGAATTCATGCCAAGTGCCTAACAGCAGTTCCTGGCACATAATAAGCACTTAAAGATTACCAGCTGCTATTACAGTTACTATTATAATTACCACCATCCTAAACTCACAGCGGGTGAGGACTGTCATTACCCTATATGCTATAAAAGCCCTAATAGGTTCTTTAACAACCAGACAAACCCAAGTAAAGTTCGAGATCCTGCTCCATTGGGCTGGGTGATAAGCTCTCCCCTCTAATCCTCAAAGAAACGCCTCTTGGGATGGAGAACAACTCTCTCTCCTAGTTACCCCGAGGCTTGAACACCCTGCACATCTGCCACTGTCTTCTCTGCAGGGGAACTTGAAAACAGGGCGAAGTAACCTTTGGACTGGGCTACAACAGCCTCATACTCCAAACAATCATTTGCAAAACTAACAGGCAAGCAGACATTACGACTAGAAGACTGAAAATTAAAGACATTCTTTAGAATTCAGCGTCACACTCTGCGCACCAGTGTAGCTCAGTGGCTGGAGCACCCGTTTGCACACTAAGGGGTCACAGGTTTGAGTCTCAGTCAACGGCACATACTTGGGTTGACCCCAGGCCCCTGGTTGGACGCATGTGGGAGGCAGGAGGCTATGTGTCCTCTCTCACACAGATGTTTCTCTCTCTCCTTCTCCTTTCCTCCCACTGTCTCTAAAAATCAATGGAAACAACAACAAAGAATTAGCATCACGATAATAGCTTATTTGCACCTGTGGAAATTCCTTCTTTAACTCAGTAACACCCACAGAAACGCCTTCCTTCCACTGATGTACCAGTTCCCCTTTCCTTTCTCATGAAAAACTTGCCACCGCCTACTGGGAACACTTTTTGGATTTCTGCCTGAATCGGTGCTTCAAAACAGCTATTCTTCTGTATCTCAAGTAAACACTGTTGCCTCTCACTTTGGTCTTACCAAGAACTTATTCACTTCAAGATCACTGATAAATGACTCTTTTTGACTTTGGTAAGTCTAGGTTTCCTTAAACTTCCTGATTACAAAGTCGTTTTAAAAACTAAGCTGAAAGTTTAGTTTCAGCCTTCTGTTTGTGCAATGAAACAAAATTAGATATTCCTAAAGGAGATGACCAAAAACATATCTAAGAAACTTTTTTGCTGCCTCATAAAAAAAAAAAAAAGCTAATTTCTAAAGATCTTCCAAAAATAGGTAATTAAAAATTAAAATGAAACGTATCAACAATAGTTTTAAGTTTTAAGCTCAAATTTCTGTTTCCCTCATAAAAATACTTTATGAATCTGGACTTTACTATTTAGCAATAATTCTGATAGGTCTAGACTGAGATTTATCCTCATAAAAATCTAAATGCAAGAAACTGTTTAAAATTAAACTGAGGGGAGCAAAGTTTGCCCCTTCAAAAGATGCCTTTTGGGATATTGATTTTACGTTGGTTATTTTTAAGAAACAAAAGATTCAGGGAAAATCTCTGACCTTCCTTCCAACTGCCTGAAAGAATTTAGACAGAGGACCTGTACCAGGAAGGGAGATAGCATCACTGACCTTACAGAGTAATGTAGTGTGATAGACGGGGAGGGATTCAGCAAGGGCACTGATCAAAGTCTCCTTTGGGTTAAAGAAAGCCCAAACATTTGCTTTATCTCCATGTGAACGTTTCCCCCTCTGAAGTCCCAAACTACAACCCCCTTCTCCTGAGTCCACACAGAATCGAGGCCTCACCTGCCTGATTTGCCTGCCCTTGGTCTCTACTTACACGGAGCCCCTCATGTACACATGTAAATAAATTTCATCACCTTCTGTTAAACTGTCTCATATCATTTTAATTATTCGGCCAGCCAGACGAACTAAGAGGGACCAGGAGAAAATGTCCACTCCCCAGTACTGTGGTTATATAAGAGGATGTCTCATTTTAGGAAATATATATTGAAGTATTTAGAAAAAAAGGGACATCATGCAAAAACCGGTTTGGCTCAGCGGATAGAGCATCGGCTTGCGGACTCAAGGGTTCCAGGTTCGATTCTGGTCAAGAGCATGTGCGTTGGTTGCGGGCACATCCCCGGTGGGGAGTGTGCAGGAGGCAGCTGGTCGATGTTTCTCTCTCATCGATGTTTCTGGCTCTCCCTTCCTCTCTGTAGAAAATCAATAAAATATATTTAAAAAAAGGAAAAAAAGAAAAAGGGACATCATGCTTGCAACTTCCTCTCACATGGCTCAGAAAAAAGTTAACATGAGGAAAAGGGGGGAGGAATGATGTAAATGTGATAAATACTGACACTTGGCAACCTGTGACAACTACATGGGAATTATTTGTACTTTTTCTTGTAAATTTCTATAAATCTGAAATTATGTAAAAATTTGAAAGAAAGGAATATCATATAGATCCATGTGCATTTTTAAAAAGCAACAGACCACACAATAAAATATAACTAAAACCTTCCAAGCTCTGTATGATTACTTCTCTCTTTTTGTAAAAATATATTTTTATTGATTTCAGAGAGGAAGGAATAGGAATAGAGAGAGATAGAAACATTAATGATGAGAGAGATCATTGGTTGGCTGCCTCCTGCATGTTCCCCAATTGGGGGGGGGAGGATCTAGCCCACAACCCAGGCATGTGCCCTTGGCCAGAATTGAACCTGGGACCCTTTAGACCACAGGCCAACGCTCTATCCACTGAGCCAAACCAGCTAGGGCTGTATGCTTACTTCAACTTGACATAACTACTTCTTTAAATCCACAAAGATAGGCCTTACCTGACCTTACCTTGTCGTTTTTAGTAATATATCAGATAACAAGAATAAAAGGTAAAAAGGGAGTACAGAGCGGATATGTCTTTGGTAGGTGGCTGAGGAGAGATCACACACTCCTCTATTTCACTTCATCTTCAGGATTAGGGTTACCCAGCAGGGGGACATATAGGAACAATTTAGGTTAAACTTTAAAAGTTGGTGATGTTGCTTGGCATACTTTCTTTTAAGAATATAATGCCTATTAGTAAAATGAGTTTGGTTAAGTATAAGTTAACAGAAAATTGTAAACTTGGCAAGGGCAAGGACTGGTGTCCATCTCACTCACTGACATATTCTAAGCGCCTGGATGGTGTTTGCCTACGGAGGAGAGGCGTGAACAGCAGACAGTGCATGAAGCAAGGTACACCTGTAGACCAGTCTGCACTTTTGCTTTGCTTTACTTGGTCAGTTTCTTGGTTTGCTGGTCTCTTGCAATGAACTGTAATTTGTTCAGAGCTATGTATGTCATTGCTATGATTTTTTGTACAGTCTTCTGATTCAACAAGATCATATGTGTTGGTGGTTCGAAAATCACTTTTTCAAATGAAGTGCTTTTGGAATGTTCTCAGCCACTCACTTTTCCAAGTCTTTATAAAATGCCTTTTTATTTTTATTTCTTTATTCTATTTTATTCTGGCTAATCCTCACATGAGGATATTTTTTCCATTGCTTTTCAGAGAGTGGAAGGGAAGTACTGACACTTGGCAACCTGTGACAACTACATGGGAATTATTTGTATTTTTTCTTGTAAATTTCTATATATCTGAAATTATATAAAAATTTGAAAGAAAGGAATATCATATAGATCCATGTGCATTTTTAAAAAGCAACAGACCACACAATAAAATATAATGAAAAACATTAATGAAAAGAGAGAGAGAAAGAGAGAGAGAGAGAGAGAGAGAGAGACACTAATTGCCTCCTGCCCATACCCCGAGCGCCCCAACTAGGGACATGGAGTGCATCTGCAACCCAGGAAGGTGCCCTTGACCAGGAATGGAACCTGTGACCCTTCAGTGTGCAGGCTGATGCTCTAACCACTGAAACTGCCTTTTTACAATGGGCACATGACTCCCCTGAACGTTGGCTGTATGTGAAGTGGTGATCTCTGCATCCCCGGCATTACTCGACATGCCGTAAGCAGTGTGGAAGGTAACACAGCAGTGATGAACAATAAAATGCTCCAGCCTCATGTATGTATCTTTCCAAGGAAATTCGCAAAAGGAGAAAACTCAGCGGAATGAGGGGAAGCATTCTCCTTGCTGGGAATGCTGTCCAGACAGAGGATGTCTCATTACTCTAAGACCATGGTCAGCAAACTGCGGCTCTTTGGCCCCCCGAGTGTGGCTCTTCCACAAAATACCATGGCCTGGGTGAGTCTATTTTGAAAAAGTGGCATTAGAAGAAGTTTAAAAAATTTGGCTCTCAAAAGAAATGTCAATCATTGTACTGCTGATATTTGGCTCTGTTGATGAATGAGTTTGCTGACCACTGCTCTAAGACAATGTTTTGCTCAAACTTTCCATTCTTGGAATGCTTTTCTTATTGGGAATGGAGGGGACCTCAGGTTATTTTTAAGGCTCCTCTACTACTTTCATTCTTGCTTTCCAAGTGCTTTGAGAATCGGATTAAAGGGAGGAAGTAGAAGTCAGCCAAGGGCTGTGGTGGGGAATACAAGGCCCAAGGCCAGACCTCAGCCAAAGGCAATCACAGCCAGCCCAGCAGCCCCCTCTCTAAATGCTTATTCAGGAGCACTCAGGTCAAAACACACCAATGAAAGGAACAGGAAGAGCAGAGAAAGGGAGAAAGACAGGCCAGGCGCTGCCCAGCCAGAGGAGGGATTCCCAGCTCAGGCCAGGACTGCTGGCTGGCAGGTGTGCAGACACCCTGCACCAGCCTCAGGCTGAACTCTCCCTGATCTGGCTCATGCCCATTTCACTGGTAGAGCAGCCGGAAGGACCTCAGGGTAGAGGCAAGTTTGTTCCTCCCCCACCTGATCCTACGCTCCCCCTGTGTGAACTCACCTCAAAGACAGACATTCAGTGGCTGAGGCAAGCCTAACTGCCGCCTGTGCGGCTGGGTCAGGGGCGGTGCCCCCTGTGCCCGCCTGCCAGCAACACCGTGACCCTGAGACAGCCTCCCACTGACCTTCCATTGTGAGAAACACATGGCCACTATTCTTGACACAGTCGAGTCTAGGGCAGCAGTTTTCATAGTGTAGCCTGGGTGGTGGACTACCCTGTTTCCCCGAAAATAAGTCAGTGTCTTATATTAATTTTTTCTCCCAAAGTTGCGCCAGGTCTTATTTTAAGGGGATGTCTTATCTTTCCATGCGCTAGGTCTTATTTTCAGAGGATGTCTTATTTTCGGGGAAACACGGTACTATTTCATCAGCACTTGCCCCCCCCTGCCTTCCGAGTACCTAGAGGCTCTGTGACATGTGGCAAACACCGGAGCAGCCGTGGGAATCCAGCTGCCTGCCATGGACCCGGGTAGAAAAGAGATTAGCAAAATTTGTAAACAATGTCTCAGTTTCCTCACCCACTGTTTTTTGGGAAATAGTAAAAAATATGTAGCTACCATAATGGGTTTATTGCTACTTTAAAACAACTAATACACATATTTTCTAGTTTCTTGGTCTTAACAGCTAATAGAGTAAATATCAATAGATGTGAGGCCCCCCGTAACGAAAGCTTTGTGGTCCTCAATAACGATGAGTGCCGAGAACTGGGCTCCAGGGCCCCAGTCAGGCAGCAGCGGGGCCTCTACACACCAGGCTCCCGGAGACCCAGGCGCCTCTGACACTGTTTGTGCTGGTCCCCACACCCAGGTCCCCTGCACCAGTGCCTCACCTTTGCTTCCGTACAGCTCTGGAGGCAGGTCGTAGGGCACAGGGAAGGACGCTGCTGGCTCCTGGCTGCCCGAGAAGAATTTATGCTTCACCCTGAAGCTGTCCAGGCCCTGCAGACACAGAAATCAATGATGGCTCCCCATTTCCGGAAAAAGCCAGACCTCAAGAAGCAACCATGTCTTTGGGGGCGCTCACAACACAATTCAAGTGATCTCAGAGCTGTCTACCATGTTTGATAAGCTTAAGGCACTGACACCCCCACCTCAAATGACTCTTCCCTTAAAATAAGACAGGGCCAAATCTCAGATATTAAACTCTGGCCAAGTTTGCAAAAGTTTATTAAAGGATAGGAAGACACAAGAAAAAACAATTTTGGACATTACAGCCCATTTCAAGGATTGCGTACGGATTGCAGAGAGTGTTTAGAAGGTGCCGTATAAAAATATCTCAAAACGCTTTCAACATTGCTATAGTAACAGGCTGCTCGCACTGGTGCAAGAGATACAAGTTGCTTCCATGTGCAAGGAAAGCGTTCCAATGTTATGTGATAGGAATATGAAAATGAACACTCTGGGACCCGCCAAATGGAAATGGAAGGTTTATCCCAAGAACGCGAGAGTCGGGTATTCACTTCGGACCTTAATTGGGGCATGAGTTACCCCAATTAAGGTCCGAAGTGGCACCAGTGTATGTGGCACCAGTGTATGTACCCGCAGGAGAGCGCTGCCTGAGGCCCCGGCTGTGTTCTCCCCGCGCCGCCCCGAGCTGCTCACACCTCCTGGCTCCCTTCCAGGATCACCTGGCGCTTTGCAGGCCTCTCATTCCTTCTGCCCACTCACCCGAGCATGTCCACCCTCCATACCAAGTACCCACATATCAAACAGCGCTAATGTCTTAGAAGCCAAAGGCCAGGACTACAGTTCCTCGCCCTGGTGATCACACAGCTTAGCAGGGGGGCTGGTCCGGGTACAGCCTAGGACAGGCACGTCAGGGGTTGTGCGTGAACTGATACAGAAGCGGGGGCAGAGGAGCGCTGCAGAGGAAAGCCAGGGCCGGAAGGGAAAGGGTGGGAACGGGAGCAGCGTGGACCTCTGTGGCTGAAGCTGGGCCCATCCCCTGGCCGCAGGGATCCGGATGGCATGTGGCCCGAGTCAGAGATGTCAGGAAAGAGCCATCTTTCTGCCGGAAGCTCCTTTAGTAATGGGTGAGCCTTGAGAGGTTGGATATCCTCATGCCCTTCAGACCCAACTCTCATAACGTGGCCCGGCCCCTGCTTTCAGCCCTGCCTGAAGCAAGGGACCTGCCCGCTGTGCCCGCCTTTTCTCTCATGCCGCCGAGTTGGCTGCCCATCACTCACAACCGAAGTGTGTAAGACAGGATGCTGATGCAGGGGCAGGAGCTGCCGAAGGTTTTGAGCATAGAAGTTCCATTAGAAAGGCAGACAGGCTCAAAGCGGAGAAAGACGGGCCTTGCTGGAGCCAGAAATGAGAGATAGAGTTGCAAATGGGAATGGGAAACAAGTAGATCTTTGTTAACAAAAACCGAGATGCAGAGGAGATGCATTTGGACGGGAGTGGGCTGGTGGGAGCAGAAAGGAATGGATGTGAGAGAGACTGGAGGACAATGAATAAAACTCTATGACCTATGAGCGCAGAGGAGGAAGGGGCAGAGCCAAGGACACAGGGAAAGGGCCCTGCAGCTCTCCTCTGCCCTCACGTCCTCCCACTCAGCACTGGGCTCTGGGCCACCTCCTCCCCAGCCAGCGCAATGGCTCCCCCACATCCTACCTTAAAAAAAAAAATGTGTGTATATATATATATCTATATATTTATTGATTTTTTTTTTACAGAGAGGAAAGGAGAGGGATAGAAGTTAGAAACTTTAATGAGAGAAACATTGATCACCTGCTTCCTGCACACCCCCTACTGGGGATGTGCCCGCAACCAAGGTACATGCCCCTGACCAGAATCAAACCTGGGACCGTTTAGTCTGTAGGCCGACGCTTTATCCACTGAGCCAAACCGGTTAGGACTACATCTTACTTTTGACATTCTGATCGAAGGAGAATCCTAACAATCTCTTACTTGTGTATGCTACTGCTGTGTGACTCTAGGTTAGTTCCTCAACTTTTCTGGGCCTCGGCGTGTTCATCTATTCAATGGGTATGGCGAGGATAAGTTACTTAGAAAGATAACTGGCACATGAAGTAAAAAGTGGTATAACACGTATATTCAGGGCATTCCTTGTGATGTAATTACTCACATTTTGCAAAGGAGGAAACAAATTTGGTGGTTAAGTAGGTGCCAGGGGCTTTCTAATTCTTGGTTCTAAGTTCCTTTCACTAAATAAACAAAAGGTCTCATATTCACCCACCAGGAGCCACAGCAAAGGACAAGTTCCTTGCAAATGTAAGAGGCGATATTAAGGCAGGAAATCAGGATGAACCAAATTCTGGAAACCTTTGTTCTTGACGTTTTTTAGAAAGAGGCCAGCAGTTGGAAGCGATGCCAATTTAATGCCTAGTCAATACTTCGTGGAGTTTCAGGCAAAAACGACTTCCCTCTTCTTTCGCTCCCGGCTTAGTTCTGTGACGTTCAAGTGTTCCGCGGTGGAGGAGTAAGGGCCTTGGAGCCTGGCCCAGATCTGATGGCTCCATTTCGCGGTATCTGACTTCAAATACAAGAAGGTTTGAGTCATCCTTGTCAGACAGGAAGCAATATGCTTTTTTTTCTTTTCTTGAGTGCCATTTCTGATCCAAATTCTAGGGTATCACAACGATATAAAAAAAAAGTACCACTTTTCCCTTCAATCTGGATGTCAAACAACGTGAAGCTGTCTTCTAATTATCGTTATTTATGTATCACAGTGGTATCGCTCGGTGCTTTATGAAACAGAGGAAGGCATCCTCCCAGGCAGGGATACTTGAAATGACGGTTAAGACAATACATTTATAAAACATGCATCTCACACGAGAAATCGCTGGCTTTTCCCCTCATCAGCTCCGGGAGGAAAAGAGCCGGCTCTCGCTGATGGATTAGGTTTAGCAGCTTAGCTCAGTCAGAGAATGAGAAATGTGCTCAGATCTCGGTTAGAGATGTGGCGTTTTTAGCTGTGTCCGAGGAGCCTCCTCCAGCAGTAAATCCCTATGCATTTTCCTGGGTAAAGCAGTAAGGGAAGCGGAACCTTCTAGAAGGAGGGCCCTTAACCAAAGATAGGCTCAGGGACAAGGAAGTGGATGCAGGAGGTGGCCGTCTTGTCCTTCCTGTAAGTCAGGACACAGTCATCAACCGAGTGTGTCCAGCTGGGGGCTTAGGAGAAGCTGCTAGAGATCAAACCCCCATGACATCAACACTGCTGCGATGCCAGGGTTCAGCCTGGATCGTGGTCTCTGCCCCCCACCTGCTGCTGGCCTGCTTGCTGAACTGCTGCTGCGGTGACTAATGCTAACTACAACCTGCGCTCAGTGCTGGCGAGACGGCAGGCCTGCAGAAGGAAAGCAACGGACCCAAAGTCTAAGGGCAGGTACGCATGGGCGGGTGCGTGTGCCTGTGCGTGTTCCTCCAGCCAGAGCCACAGTTAGAATGATGTTGCCATTTTCAGCAACAAAAGTCAATAAAATAGTTGAGCCAGGGCGGAGGGAAGAGAAAGTAGAGACCTGAAGACTGAAAATTTTGGGGCATTGGGTGGAAGCCTTTTTAATTCTGATCACAGAAAACAGAGAGCCGGTCATCTCAGGGCGAGTGAGCTGGGGCGTGATGGGGTGGAGGCGGCTGCGCAGGCCGCCTCGGTCTGGAGGAGACAGTTCTCATTCTGCACATTATTCCCAGGGGCGGGGGCGGGGGGGTCACAAAGGGCTAGGCAGGCTCCAGTCCAGGGCCTAGCCAGCAGCAGGCAAGGTATGTGCTCACTGAACACAAGACGCAGGAAGTTCAAAGTGAGAAATACTTGTATTTCCCCGATACATCCTTAGGGTTTGGAATACAGCGACTCACCCCTGAAATCACCCATCTTTCCTATATTAAGATTTTTCTGACAAGAAAATGAATTAGCCCACTCTACAAGTTAAATGCACTTACACTAAAGGGACAACCTGAGACACAGCACACACTGCTGTGGAGGAGGGACCGTTCCATAAATACCCCCCCCCCCCCCCCCCCCGCCCCGAGCTGGACCTGGGCTGGAGGAAGGTTGCTTTCTGCAAAACCCCCTTGGAGACTGTCTGGTCGTAAATCATGCTCATTCCGACATCAATCAGCCCCTCCTGAGCCTCCTGCTGCGTGCTGGTTCCTGGAGCAGGTTGCTGTCGTGACTGGTCAAGCACACAGAGCAATTTTCGTCCCGGGCAGTATTGTGCACTGGTGCCCACGACTGCCCCTCATTTCTGGGTAATTCCTCGGGGCCCGTCAAACGGTGCAGGCATCCGTTGCGTCTAGCTGCCCCAGACATGCCGCTATGTAAGTTTCCCTTAATAATCTCTTCATCACCAGACCGAGTGGCGGGCTCTTTCTTTGGTCTTTCCACTTACAGAGGTTGACTTTTCATCTTGGGGCTTTTCCCTGGGGCTGGGTGTACCAGTCCTTGATATTAGACCTCAAAAGAATAAACTCTCTACGTTAACAAAGGTCATTCAGCACCTACGATGTAGCAACATTAGCTAAGCGCTGGGTACAGTCCCAGACACCATGGCATAAAGCCCCGGAGTCCTTGCAAGCGTTCCTAATCAAAGGGAAAGTTGCTGACCCACACGCTCCACGGCCAGCTGGGTTGATCTCGAAATGATATGCTTACTGATTAATTCACTTAAGACCACATGCGGCTCTTTGGTCCCTTGAGTGTGGCTCTTCCACAAAATACCACGGCCTGGGCGAGTCTATTTTGAAGAAGCGGCGTTAGAAGAAGTTTAAGTTTAAAAAATGTGGCTCTCTAAAGAAATTTCAATCGTTGTCCTGTGGATATTTGGCTCTGTGGACTAATGAGTTTGCAGACACCGACTTTCAGAGCAGAAAAAGGTGAATAAACCAAGCTTTGGTTATCAGGGACTTGTCCGTTTCCAGAGGCAGCCCAGAGGTTTCATGGGGCATCTTTATTATGAAAAGCTGGCTCTCTGCCCGCTAGTGTTTAGATCAGACTGTGCCCCACTGGCCACAGCCACCGGTTCCCGAGTGACAGGCCCTACAGCGGCCGTGGGCGAGGGGTGAGCGGCCAGTTCCCTCCGTGACCGACTGGCCGTGCAGCGCTCGGACTGCGCTGTTCTGGACAGAAAGCCTGGCGGCGTGCTGCCTGGCCTCCGGCCAGCCTCCCAGAACACAACGGTCAGGACGGCCGATGGGGAGGGACACACTCAGCAACGCCGCCGCCGCTGACAACTCAGAACCGTGGGCGTTTGGACGTGGAGTGCTGCCTGAGAAGCACAAAGGTGGGCTGATCTCAAGCGAGGAACAGAGCGGAAAAATAAAGTCACTGCAGTCAAGCTGCTAAATCACTAAGAAAGTAGGCAGAGCCATGAGGAAGCGGTTCTATTCTCGCTGTAACAGTGTGGGAAGGTGAACTTGTGAACTTTCCAGTCTCGCACCAGTGCCTGGACATGCAGCAGACGGCCAGGCAGCCCTCTGGTCACCCCCTGGGGACTCAAACCCAGGCCAGTGGAGGTGCCCAGGCCACTGGGAGTCCACCCTCCAGACACCTGCCATGGGACTGATAACCAGCCTGCACCCCTCCTAGAGCTAAGAACGCACTTACTGTAAAAACTCTTCACTCTTATTTCTTCTTTGGAACACTCTGGGGTTCTGCCTGTTTCCTAATGTCAATACCTTCGATTTCTAACCCTAAGACTCTTGAGTAAACCTTTATCTTTTATTTCTAGCAATGCCTTCAGACTCTTTGAGTTCATTCAACACAAGAAACCAGATTCTAGATGATGTCCAGGCAGAAGGACTACAAAATGGGGTACTCAGTATGTCTACCCAGCAAACATGTAACTAACATTAAAAGGCACGTCCTGATGTACTGTAGAGAGAAACCTAAAGGAAGAACCAGTCTCATTTCATAACACTGTGTTCCTGTCAGCAACCACTGTAAGACGAGGGCTGATGTAGGACTTCTCACTCGGGTCTGTGTGCCACTGGCTGCTCCCCGAGAACCCTGACTGGTGTAAGTGGGCTCAGGAGACCAGTGGTTCCTCACCGCTGGACAAGGAAGGCCGGAGTGAGAGGGAGGGCCAGGCCCGAGGGCTCGGGTGTTGGGGCACGCAGGGAAAATAGGCCGTGCTAGGGAGTCTGGCTTCTGCCGCACAGGATTGGAAGCCAATGGGCGACCTGACCGAATCTGTGCCTACAAAGCCTCCTGGCAGCAGGTGCAGGGCCGCCTGGAGGCCAAGGGGGGAGAGAGAGGCTATCTCGGCAGGAGAGAGCATGCACTGGACACAGGGGCAGCCAGAAAGGACAGAGTATCCAGCAGCACTAGAGTCGGGAATGACAGCCTGGTGATTACAGTCATGGGGGTAGAGAGGAGGTACGGGATGGCTTTGCACACGGAGCTAGGACAGCGGGAGAGTGGCAACAGTACTTCGGTAATAATCCATTTTATAACAGTGGGCTTAAGTAAGATGCTTTTGATCACATCCGCAATGAATACTATAAATTATAATCATAATTGGAGATGCTTTAGAAGATTCAAATTCACAGGAAATGGACCCGATGGCACCAGCAATCCTGCTTAACGAACGGATGGCTGTGCACTGCCAGTGTCCCACTAGCCAGCGTCTTTCCGAGGAGGAACCCACCTCCTGGCCCCCGCCCACCCCCCAGCTCCTTCCCAGGCACAGAGCTTTGCTGTCTCTCAGACAGGACACGCACTGCCCTCTCTGGCTGGAAGCCTCATCTCTCTGGATGACGACGGGTTAGGCTTCTACTCCATGTTCCAGACCACGGTCCCATGTGATCTCCTCAAAGAAGCCTTCCCCAGCCCCTCAGGCAGATTACATGCTCTGTTGTGTTGTGTTTCACAACGTGTATTTAAATAATGTCAATGCCTTCGATCTCTATTCAGGTATACAGCTCGAGAGCCACATGCGGCTCTTTGGCCCCTTGAGTGTTCTAACACCACCTCTTCAAAATAGACTCACTCACCCAGGATTGAAAACTGTCTTCTGCGCATGGGCCATGAAGTTCCCAATCGTACTGTATGTGCGCGCCCACACATGGCATTTTGTGGAAGAGCCACACTCAAGGGGCCAAAGAGCCACATGTGGTTCCAGAGCCTCGGTTTGCTGACCAGAGTTATACAGTCCTTGAGAGCAGCGGTCCTGCTGCTCATCGGCACAGGAGGTGGGTGAGAACCTGCCCCAACCTCGGTCAGGCCACCCCGACTAAGGAAGAAAACATAAACACCCAATTCACGCCCAGCCGGACGTGGCTCAGTGCCTGAGCGTCGACCTACGGACCAGGAGGTCCCCAGGGTGGGGCGTGCAGGAGGCGGCCGGTGGAGGATTCCCTCTCACCACTGATGTTTCTGTCTCCCGCTCTCCCTTCCTCCCTGAAATCAATAAAAATGTAAAACGTGAACTTACAAATGCCGACGGGAGGAAGAGGACGCCGAGCTCGTAGGAGCGGATCATCAGCTGGGCGCCGCTCTTCTCCAGCGCTCCCCAGGCTGCCTTGGACAGGTTCGCGCTGCAGGGACGGGAACAGAGGAGCTCACTCAGGGAGGCCTGTCGGGGCAGGACAGCCTTCCCCAGCTGCAAGGGCGGCGGCCACGCACGAGGGGCCGCGGTCAGGCTCACTCGGTTCCGGGCAGAGGTGTTGTCACAGCCCTCGGATGTCTCTAATTGCTAACGTGGGACGGCTTCGCCCTCCTCGGCGTTGTCCCCAGGACAGCGGTTAAAGCAATTATCTTTCTACAAAGATTCTTTTTTCCGTCCAAACCCTTTAATTTTTAAGATCCTGGCGTGGCCACAATGTTTAGTTTTGTTGTATATAAAAGTAGCAATCAGAAAAAAAGTTGTCAATGTCATCACATATACTATTAAAGCACTGCATCCTTTATTTTGTCTTTTGTTTTGGGCCGGGTATGCTAATTTCCACTTGCAATCCAAAGAAAAGCACTAATGTGGGGTTTGTATTTAGAAAAAAAGCAGTGCATTTAGACATGTTTACAGGGAAACGGAGTTCCAGACATCACGGCAGGCAGCGGGAGGGAGGAAGGAGCTGGGTCTGAGGCACTAGGAGGGCCCTCTGGGTGACAGGGGACTGGCTGGGCTCTCAAGCATCATCCTAGTGGTGCTCTAACCAAGTGCCACAAATTTAGTGGCTGAAACAACACAACTTTATTACCTTCCGCTCTGAGATAGGGCCTGATGGACCAAAGGCAAGATGCTGGCAGTTTCCTGTTTCCTCTTTTCACGTCTCTGTAGTCTGATTCACTCAAATGATCTTAACTGTTCTTTTTATATTACACTAGAGGCCTGGTGCATGAAAATTCATGCACTGGGGGGTGGGGTGGGGAGGGTCTATCAGCTTGGCCTGCCCCCTCTCACAGTCCAGGAGCCCTCAGGGGCAGGAGGCAACCTGATGATCAGGGAAGGCAATGACCCATCACACCTCTGCTGCTGCCACTGCCGGCAGCACAAGCCTCGGCCAGCCCTGGTTACCTGCACCACGGGCGGCTAGGCAGCATCCTGGTCTCCACTCACTAAATGCCAGAAGCAACCTGGTTCTCACCAGCCCTACCCTAAGCCCCCAGTTAGCAGATTCTCAGACCCATTTAGTGAGTGGAGACCTGGGCAGCAGGGGTGCTGAGGGGACTGGGTGCTGCCATCTTGTGCTGTGGGCACCACCATCTTTGAGGGCAGGGCAGCAATTAGCATATTTCTTCCTTATTGGCTGTGGGTGCTGCCAGCTTTGTGACTGTGTGAGGGTCAATTAGCATATTTCCTCTTTATTAGATAGGATTCTTTACTAGAGGCCCAATGCACAAAATTCATGCAAGAGTAGGCCTTTGGCCAAGACCGGTTTGGCTCATTGGATAGAGCGTCGGCTTGGGGACTGAGGAGTCCCGGGTTCAATTCCGGTCAAAGGCATGTACCTTGGTTGTAGGCATATCCCTAGTAGGGGGTGTGCAAGAGGCAGCGGATCGATGACTCTCTCTCATCAATATTTCTAACTCTCTATCTCTCTCCCTACCTCTCTGTACAAAATCAATAAAATATATTAAAAAAAAAAAAAGAGTAGGCCTTTGCAGCGGCTGCCTCCATTCCTCCCTTGCAGCCCTGGCTGCTGCCTCGATTCCCTGGCTGCAGCCCTGGTTTCGTCCCAGAAGGACGTCAGATCTAATTAGCATATTATGCTTTTATTATTATAGATTCTTCTAGACCAATGTTTCTCAGCGGGAAGCACGAGTGCCCCTGGGGGACATTAGCAATGTCTGGGGACATATTTTGTTTTCAAAGTGGAGGGTGGGCTGCTCCTGGCATTTAGTGGGTGGAGACCAGGATGCTACTAATGATCCAACAATGCACAGGACAGTCCCCAGGACAAGGAGGGGCCAGGCCCCAAGTGTCTACGGTGCCGAGGTTGTAAGTCCTGCCCTGAACCTCTGCTGCTGGGCGTGGTTTTCTCCACTGCCTGCACCTCCCTTCCTCAGTCTCTCTTCACTTGCCTCTTCAGCCACTCTCTCTGTTGCTGCCTTTCCCACCTCAAACAAATGTACTGCCTGGCACTTAGGACCCTCCGCAGTCTGACCAAAGCAATGCTTTTCAATCTTATTTCCCATCATGCCTTTTCCCGACTCCTCTCTGAACTGAACTGAATTACCAACTGCCTCCACATCTTGGCAAATATCATCCACAGTGCCTTCACCCTGCCCACCCTGTGGCTATGTGAGCCCTTTCCCCCACATGCCCGTATCTCTTTCCAGAAACTGTCTGTGGAGACTCCAGCCCACAGATGTCTCCCGAGCGAGTCCTGCAGATGTTATGCAATCAAGAAACATGTGATTAATTCAAGAAAAGAGACTAATATGCAAAGGCTTAGAAGATTCAATTTATCAAAACTATTTGTTCACTGTGGTTAGGGAATTAAAACCTTTAAAGTCATAAATCCAGAGAAAATGCCAGATTGTTGACAGGCACGAGAGGCACAGCAGGGTTCATGGGGAAGAGCAGAGCCTGAGCTCATACGTGTTTGAACACAATTAGGGCCAATGCTGCAGATCTCAATATGGGAATGCACCTGCCTCATGTCGGAGGTGAGTCAAGCCCTGGGCACATGAATGGTGCTCAATAGATGTTAGCTTTACATCACCAGTATTTTGTTGAATTTGTGGGAGGGGACCTCTGGTCCTTCTCTCTGGTGTGACTTACTAAGCAATGGAATTCAATGCAAGGCAGGTCCACCCAGGCCTCCCAATCCCAGAAAGTGCTGTGGGAGATGGGTCTAAAATCATTCACCCAACTGCCTCACGGATTTCACAATCCTTGCACAAGTTCCCATGGCAGAAACATAGTGAGCTATTTTATTTTGTAAAGGAAGCTAAGAGGATTTGGTCCTGTTAATATATACATCCCCTCCTACGCCCCAACTTTGGTAAATTCTCGCCTGAAGGTATTTTTTCCCATTGACTTTGAGAGAGAGTGGAAGCGAGGGAGGGAGTGGGAGAGGGAGAAACATCGATGTGAGAGACATACATTGTTTGCCTCTCGCAGTGCTCCAACCTCAGGGCCAAGGATCAAACCTGCAACCCAGGCACGTGTCCTTGTCCAGGAATCAAACCCTTAGTCTGCAAGCCAATTCTCTAACACTTAACCACATCCGCAGGCCACGTCTCCCAATTTCTAATATGAGTGATAAAATGATAAAGTGAGAGGAATTTAATAGCGTGGTGAAAATTAAACCAATTCTGCAGATATACAAAAACCATGTAAAATTAACTCAAACATGTCAGCTGTGTTTTGGGGATTACAGTGTGTTAACAAAGAAAGGTCAGCAGGAAAAGAAAAATGACATTGATTATGACACCCGTTTTCCCAGACAGATTAGCGCAGAGCATGATGGAAGATCAGATCCTTGGGTGTGGGCTTCTACAAGTGACTGTGACAAATCACCAAGCACATTCTAATAATCTATTTGCAAACTGACTTCCTTGCTTCATTCCTTTTTTATTTTATTTATTTATTTATTTATTTTTTAATATACTTTGATTTCCTACAGAGAGGAATAGAGAGAAACATCGATCAGCTGCCTCCTGCACATCCCCTACAGGGGATGTGCCCACAACCAAGGTATATGCCCTTGACCGGAATCGAACCCAGGACCCTTGAGCCAAACCAGTCAGGGCCTGATTTCCTTCTTTAGTCACAGGCATGTTATGACCACTAGCAAATGCTTTCCAGTCCACACTGAGTTCAGTTTTCAACCCAGCTGCACCGTCAGCCCCGTCATCAAAAGGATCCATCTCTACTTGACCTCACAATGGAATTACGTGGCTTTAGAAGCCATCACATCAGCATTCCGAACCCAAAATGACAAAAAATATTGTCAAGCAGGATCAAAAGTGTCTTGGCAAATTTTAGGTAAAAAAATTGGTACTTAGAACACCCTACCAAAGAATTCCACCTAGGCATATTTTTAATAGTAACCGATGTGATCACCAAAAACTGCTATTTCAATTTCTATCGATATGTTCCATTATTTTGGTCATCTCCTATGGTGGAAAGACATAATGAAATCTTGGAAAAGTTTTCAATAAAAAGACTATGACATGTTTGTTAGAGTGAGCCCTGAGAGATTATCTATTATAATGGTCCTTTGAGTTTAACAAAACTGAACCGAACCAAACCGAACCAAACCAAACCAAACCAAACCAAACCCAACCCTGAGTCTGTTATTCAAAGGAAGCATTTAAAGCGACAAAGGTCAGTAAGGGTCTCTAGGTGAACCAGGATTTACCTGCACTCTCCTCCCTCCATCCACGGTTGTGGTGGGCTCTGAAAGGGGTGTCCAGAACTCGTGGGGTGCCAAGGAACATGGCACAAAAACCAATCTACCCAATGACATTACCAACATTGTTTTTTGTGTGTGACCCAATCTGATTTTGGACTAAAAAACTCAGGCAAAGGAGAAAAAAAGGCGATTTATTCCTGAGTCAGAGGAAGAGACATTAGAGAATTGCACAGCTATGCTGACAGCAGAACATCTCTCATATTTCCTCCAAAAGCCACGGTGGCTCCAGAATCAAGCACTTATCTCCCTTTCCCCCAAAGTGGCAGCACCAATATCTCGGCTCATCCCAACTCTCCCCGAATGCCTGTAAGTTGCTAGGCAACTGTATCAGGATTGCTCTCTGCCCACCCACAATTCGCAGCTTTCACACTCGTTCTCACTGGCTTTGCCAATTACTCCCAGGCACTGCTGGTCATCCAAGGTCGCCTCTTCTAGCTCATCCTCTTGCCTACTTAGTCCGGTGGTAAAACTTAAACACTGTATTTGTCATCATGTCCCAGCAATTTCCATAACAACAGGCTGCCATCAAACACTGCATGATTTCATGGTAGGATCAAAAACTATAAATAGCTTTCCATAAAAGGACCCAGACAAAAAGAAAACTGCCAGCCAACATGACATCTAATAAGTTCTAATTGACTAGAATAATTTTGAGCAATTTTTAAAGAAACCACATTAAGTTTAGAAAAGACTATATCTATAGACAAGTCTTTAGGTCACATATTATACACCAATATGTTATATAAACAAGACAGATAAAGGTTTTATAAGCTGCTTTTTTGTTAGTTTATTTTTTTTATTGAATTTATTGGGGTGACATTGGTTAATTATCTTATATAGGTTTCAGTTGCACAATTCTGTAATCTATCACCTGTATACTGTACTGTGTGTTTACCACCCCAAGTCAAGTTATAAGCTGTTTGCTTGAATCTCAAGAGGGCCAACGGATGTGAGCTTAATAATGATGTGGTAACTAGCAGCTACTAAAGTCAAACTGTTAACTAATATTTAATACAGACTACAGTTTATTTATTTTTATATATTTTTAAAATATATTTTATGGATTTTTTTAACAGAGAGGAATGATGAGGGATAGAGAATTAGAAACATTGATCCCCCACCTACCCATCCACACGGCCCTTCCCTTCTATCAGGTCAGGTCAGTCAGTCAGGCCTTCCCTGACCATCTATTTGATGAATAGCCACCCGCCCACTGGACCCAGGCACTCACTACCCTAGGGCACAGTGCTGGAGGGTGTGCCTGGGCTCGGGGACCCTGGTTTAACCTCTGAGCTCCTGTTCCCCTATCTGTACAGGGGATTGACAGCTACACTGTAAAATTGTTGTGAGGACAGAGAGAGTGAGAATGCAATGTGCTTAGAAGAACGTTTGGAGCTGACTGTTAGCAGTGCACATGTGCTTGAAGGGTCAGGAGACCAGCAGAGGCTGACAAAGCTCCAGGAAGAGATGAGACCAGCCCTGAGCACAATTCTTTCTCCATGGGCAGCTGCTGGACAGACAGGGAGAGACAACAGAGGGATCAGGAGAGGAAATTTTACAGGCTGCTGGCAGGATGGTATCAGGGGCAAGGAGGACAACTTGGCTGTTTTTGGAAGCACATGTTGGGAGTACAGGACAGAACGGTGAGAATGGTGTGGCCAAGGTCTGAATGCCTGGCTGAGGACAGGACTCTGGGCTTCAGTCCATAGGAAGTGGGAGAGGCTGCTGCACACAGGACAATGAGGAAAATCCACGTTAGTGAAAGACGAATGGTTATGGTCAACTAGGACAGGTGGCCTGGGAAGAGGACAACCATGTGACAGGACAGCAGCGGTGAATGTTTCAGAAGTCCAGGTGATCAATATCTAACCTGGTAATTTCAGGGGTTAGAAAAGCAAAGTCTGAGGCATTTCAAAGATGAGTAGGCTTTGATGGATATTTCCAAACACCCACTTGCCCGCCTCCACCACAGAACAGATCCTTCCTGGTGTCATCACCTCTGTGTCTGTTTTCCGACACCCCTGAGATTGTGAGCATCTCAGACCCACTGTGTAAATCTTACTGTTTCATCTGTGTGTCCAGCACCCTCAGGAAGGATCGGCAGCAAGTGCTGCAGATTCTCCAAGGAAGGAACAGGGAGAGAGTCCAGGGCGCTTGCAGCTTGATGGGAGTGGGCAGCTGCCGCTAAAGCATAGGAATGCTGGGGAAGAGATCTGCCTGAAAGATGAGCTCAGTTCGGGATATTCTGACTTTGAGATAAGGAGCAACCAACCAAAAAGTAAAAATTAAAAATAAATAAAAAAGAAAAAGAAGGGAGTTGTTGGTAGGTGTCACTTACATTTGGGGTCTACACCTTCCCTTGTTTTGAAAGTGCGGAGATTGGGTTCTAAGATGTTCTGTTATTTGAGTTACGTCTCTCAGGGGTCCTTTGATAATGCTGGGATGCTGGGTAGATCAGCTATGACTGCGTTCTATAGGAAGGAATTAGTTATGGGCCTCCTTTAAATAAGGCTCATATAAGGCGCGCGCGCGCGCACACACACACACACACACACACACACACACACACACAGCAAAAACTAATGGCAATTCAGAAAATCACCTTTTGGAAACCATTCCGTATTCAGAGCAGGAGTTACAAAACCCCTACCATGAGGAATGTAAGGACTATTTACCTTGTGACAAGGAACCACGCGATCTGATTGAAGTCTGGAGAGGGTCTCATGTATGTCTTGATATGTGGCATGGCGTTGCTGCGGCCAGACGTCTCAGCCGACCATTTGCTAGTGACAGGAAAGACACAATCACTGATAAGAAAATACAAATCAGCCGTTCTCCTAATATTAGCAAACTGCACGAAAAGCAGAATCCTATCATCTGAAAACCAGAGCACACAGTTATCTTCGATATGACCTGTGATATTTTCTTAAACTCTGTTCAGACAGAATAATGCATGTTCATTTTAGAATGTAGGTATGCAGACAAATAATGTACCTTCACTCAAAAAAGTATCTCTTGGCGTCTAGGCCATGAATACCCACATGCATGCAAAAACTACTGTGCTTTCAGCAGCATGTCCTCACATTCTGTCCCCTATCTGGACTGTTTCTAAAAGCTCAAACTGTGCTCCCACACTCATTACTGAGCAGAGGCTCAGTAAAAGTTTGCTGAATAAAACAAAATACAAAATGGGAAAAATACGAAAGAGTATGACTATCACAATGGAAAGTTGAAAAGCAGGGGAATAAATCAGAAATACTTGAGTCAAATGATATTTGCATATCCTGCATTTGGTTTCTAAGTTTCCAACATTGTAGGACTCAGGGGCCGTGGGGGAAAATGGCCTGTCTCAACAGGTGACAACCCTTGCTTATCAGAAGACGGGCCTTGAGAACAGACTGTCTGCAGAGACCGATCAGGACTGGGCCCATCATCAGATGATGCAATGCACTGGGAGGCAGACGATCCTGGGAGGCGCTCCATTGAAGAAACATCCTCTGGAAGGAACCACCTCCCGAGAAAGCATTAAAGAAAGGCTCCTGATGGCACCCCGGGTTAGACTGAAAGCTACTGGGATGCAAACTGCCTTCCTTTCTGGCTGTCCCTCAAAACAGTGGCCTGGAACTGGGACCAGCCTGGAGCACGCAGATGTGCGACCACTGCAGCGAGGACAGAGGGCAGTCATTTCACTTGTCCCTTCAACTTCGGACTTGAACTCTCCTAACGAGCCAAACACCGCCGCGCATGCTTGGGGAGGATCCCACCCTCAGCAAGCTTGCAGGATGCAGGGTAAGACTGCGAGGAGAACGACTGTATGTTACATATTGGAAACATGAACTGAGAGGTACTCGTGTGAATTCTCAACTACCCAGCATGTTCTTTTATTTATCGTTTTCTTTATGTGCCCATATATAAATAGAAATGCCACAGAGATAAATTTTACTCTTTGGTATTAAAAATCTATCCCAAAAAATAAAGTTCAAAACCTTGTTTAAGATGATTTCTACCACTAACATATGTAGCTGAGCCCTATTATGTAAGGCTCTTTAAATAACATCTTGTTCCTAAAGCTGCAACAGCAGCATTCGAGCCAATCACTTACTGGAAGTAGGCATGGAGCCAGTTCTGCTTTTCCGCTGTCTGGATGCTGTAGGGAAGAGAGCCCCCGGCTTTCGAAACAAGAAAAATAAATAATAAAACAGATGCAATAGAACTTGAGGATTCTTCATTAAGAAGCATAGTAAACAAAACCTATAGTAAACAACAGTGAGAAAGTGAAAGGCGAAAAACAACACTGCTTCCATTATTTCATCTTAGAAAACACTTCCTGGACAGGAAATGCCTGTACTTGCACCATCTATGTCCTCTCAGTGGGCTTCCTTTCTGAGAGATGCGTTATTAGTGTAAGTGTTCACTGTCTGCAAAGGAAAGGGGGTACAGGGTGGTCATTTAATATCTGCAACCCCACAGACGTGAAGGTTAGAAAGAATCCTGGCCCAACCTGCCGTCCTCATCCTTAGCCTCCTTCTCCAAGATGAGGTGTGGAGCACCTCTGTTTTAGCCTAGGACCAGGGCAGTTGGGGCAGACTAGGATGAGAACTAGAACTGGAGAGAAAGATTAGAGCAAGGCATGCTGGGACTGTTCTGAAAGGGCACGGAGCAGGAGGGGCAGCTGGTTTCATCTGGATGACTTGCCTGGACAGCCAATCTGTTGGTGGCAGAGGCTAGAGCGGCCCTATTGGCAGAAACGAGATGAGCAGCCATTCAGAGGGGACTGTGAGGGCTAAATAACATCCGGGACCTGCCCACCTGCACCATCCTAGGAACATGGCCAGTGCTCAATGTCCCCGTCTTCATGATTCTTACCCAGTTAAGAGAAAGATCACCTCCAAATTTCTAACCCATACTTTCCTCATCCCAGAGGGGATGAGAAAAGTCTTATTTCTTGTTTTTAAAAGTTTACCAGGGCATTTGTGAAATATACACAAAACATAACATTGTGGCAGGCTTTCCAACAATTACCTGGATACCCTTCTAAACTGGTCCGCACGTTTTCCACAGAAGGATAGATCTAAAAAGAAATATGAAAAATTCCCAGTGACACTTGGAAGGTACCATGTTGAAGAAACTATTTGTCAAAAGGAATGCTGATTAGTTTTTAAGAAAATGAAATATCAATTAAAAATACTGAGAGGTTTAGAAAACATGCTCTAAAATTTCAAAAGTTCCCATCTTACAGTAAAAAAACAGAACTTCTGGTAATTAATCCTATATAGGATTAATTTATTATTATATAATAAAAAGCTAATATGCAAATCGACCAAACGGTGGAATGACCGGTCGCTATGATGCGCACTGACCACCAGGGGGCTGATGCTCAAGGCAGGAGTTGCTCCCTGGTGGTCAATGCACTCCCACAGAGGGAGAGCCACTCAACCAGAAGCCGGGCTCATGGCTAGCAAGTGCAGCTGCAGTAGCAGGAGCCTCTCCCATCTTCATAGCAGCGCTAAGGATGTTCGACCAATGGCTTCCAGACTGTGAGAGGGTGCAGGCTGGGCTGAGGGACCTCCCTCCCCACTCAATGCACAACTTGTGCACCTGACCTCTAGTTTGATGATTAGAAAGTACACTTCCATTTGAGTTTTTCCTTTGACATGCCACAGTAACACTGAATTGAACGCAAAATTAACTACTAACTCAAAGGTGTCTAAGTACCTAATAACGCTCGGATGACCACTGCTCGCTGGTGGCTGACGTGGAGCTTTGGCTGAACTCGATTACGATTACTAACACCGCCGTTTCCATCCCACCCACTGAATCAAACCCTGAGGAGGACTGACTGTCGGCTGACTCCTCTCCTGGACGAGAGAATGCGGATGAGGGACGCTGGAGGAGGAGCACTCACCAGATGAAGGGGAGCCGTGCTCTTCCCGGGAACCCTGCTTTCCCTCCCCAGGGTCACCAAGGTCTCTGTGAATTCACCACACAGCCATTTGGACTCGTCAGCCCCCAAGGAGCCGATGCTTGAGAACTGGCCGATGACGGGCCAAGCCTCGGCCTTAGGTATGGACGAGGCGTGCTCTCTCAGGATCTGTGGAAGGGTGACAGCGGAAGCCACAGTTAGGACCAGACCCAGGTGTGGGCATCTACCTGCCACAGGGTGCACTCAGCCAGAGCGCTCTACCCTCTCTCTAGGTCAGGATCCAGTCAGGGCACCAGCCCGGGTGGCGGGCTCAATTCTCAGTAGGAGGTGAGCAGGAAGCAGCTGATTGATGATTTTTCTCTCATCACTGTTTTATCTCTCTCTCACTCTCCCTTCCTCTATGGCACCAATAAAAACGTACTATAAATAATTAACTAACTAACTAAATAAATAAAGATGTTGCCTGCTTTCAGCTGCGGTCTCAGTTAAAAAAAAAAAAAAAAGGAAAAGAAAGTTAAAATTTTCATTAACCAAGGGGAATTCTTACATAACATAAATAATTTATGGAAAAAGAGGTAAGGCTTTGAACAAAAACATTTTAGGAACATTATATTATTGAGGTCAGTAAACTGTTTTCTAAAAGGCAATGAAGACATTAATCTTCAACATGCTGGTTGTTTTATTTTGTGAAAGACCTTTCTATGTTTATTTTCACACCAGCAGCAAATGTGATTTTTATAGTAACAATTCTCTTAAGGGCTCTGGTTTGGTAAACAAAATATAGCTAATTGTTATAGCTTCTATTCAACACTACATTCTATTTTATTAAATTTGTATGTTAAAAGTCCTTGATATGCTGCTCAAATGCTACAAATGGAATCTGATTATCTCTATTACAAGACATATAACTAAAAGTCCATTTAGAACAATCAATATCTATAGAACAGGCAAAACAAAACTTTAAAAAATTACTGAAAACGATCAGGCAATCAAATTATCATATGCCTACTATTTGCTCAGAATTGTGCTAGCTATATTCTAATGCTGCCATCAGAACATACAATTATAAATAAAAAGGGAGATAATACACATTCAATTTTTAAAAGAAGTTAAAATAGTAAGAATTCTGTTACCTTCCGAAGCCTAAAGTGCCCCCAGTTATCTTTCTGATTTCCTTGAAAGCGTCCTGGGGTTGATCCAATGAGGTAAACGCTAGAGATATAAAATGTAAATTACAGGAAGTATCGATGTGATTTGTGAACCTCCAGTCACAAAATGCCCATGAAGTGTTGTGAGGCCAACCCGTTTTCTTGGGATACTTCCTCAGAGGCGTAGCTGATACTTAACCTCACTGTCAAGCACACCCACTACACCACCTGCGGGGGGGAGGGGGAGGGGACGGGACACCACACACACACACACACACACACACACACACACACACACACACACAGACAGGCCAAGAGCCGTGCAGAGTGACCCAGCAGGAGGCGGAGGGTGCATAGGAAGCATCCCTGCCTCACTTTAGGGCAGTGGTTCTTAACCTTTCTAATGCCGTGACCCTTTATACAGCTCCTCATATTGTGGTGACCCCCCCCAACCATAAAATTATTTCTGTTGCTACTTCCTAACTGTAATTTTGCTACTGTTAATGAACCGTAATGTAAATATCTGAGTTTTTTTGATGGTCTTAGGCGACCCTGCTAGCGGTTCTCAACCTGTGGGTGGAGACCCTGCTAGCGGTTGTAGAGCCTAAGACCACAACATGAGGAACTGTATTGAAGGATCGCGGCATTAGAAAGGTTGAGAACCACTGCTTTAGGGATACAGAACCAGGAGACGCCCAGCGACAACCTCCTGCTTTCATCATGTCACGAAGGGCAGGCGGCCGGCCGGACGCACTCAGCCTCCTTCCAAGATCCTGCATTCCAGACCCTGCGTGGCTCTCAGGTGTCACCTGCTATGAGCACCAGACCGAGAGGAGGGCACGTACTTGGTTTCGGAGAGGTCGTGGGCCTGGAGGATGTCCACCCACTCCTTGAGAGGAGGCGCGTTGTAAGCCATCAGATAGCTGATGAGATCGGCTTTAAAATGTGTTGTCGACTCTCCAGACCCGTGGGTGCCGTGGGCCAAACGTGGGTACAAGGGGCTCACCCACATCCTGGAACGGGAGAGGAAGGCCTGTCAACAGTCGGGAAGCCACTGGGGACAGGGTTCCTCCCATCGACTCTGCACTCACCCGAGGAGGAGGGGAATTCTCACAGCATCTCCACCTGGTGAGCAGAGACCCTTAAACATGAATCTGACCGTGTCGCTCGGACAGCTTCCATCACATTCAGAATTATTTTTGAAGACCACACTGTGAGTTTAGAGCCAGTAAGATCCAGCCTCTGCCCACCTCTCCCAATCCAATCCCCTCCATGCTCCCTCTCATCCAGTCACCGCACCTTTCTCTCCTCCTCCTTCCCACGCCTTACGTACGGCTTTCTGAGGCGTGACGGCAACAGCCAATAGTTTTAATCTCAGTTGTTAGAGCAAACCCACACCACCTGTAGTAACCCCAGCAAGACTGTGCCCATGACTATGTCAATATGACTCTTTAGTTAAGTGGGTAAAAGTTATACTGAGAAAAATGTACGAACAAATCTACTTTCAATAAACAAACACTTCATGATGGATGAGCTAGAGTAGTTGGGGGGCATTTTTATAACATATACATTCCTGGTGCCTGGAATGAGTCTATACCACATTTAATGATATTAGATTGACATAAACCTTAGACTTCCAAATACTACAGTAAATGAAATATTAAAGACATCTTTCATTTCATCAGTTCTTTTCCCCCCAAAGGAAAACAGGGGGGTGTTGGGTGAGAGCCATGATGTATGATGACTTTCTAAACCAGATTCCGAGGTGTGAGGCATGTTCACACTTCCCAAAATAAGATGAGAAAATGGTCATGGGACAAATAAGTTTAAAAGTTAAACGGTGGACCAAGGGGTGGCTGGAAGGGATGGCAGGGACACCTGTACACAGAGCAGGGTCAGCAGGGCAGTGAGGAAGGGGACACAAGGTAATCAATGGCCTTTAAGTGTCTTTCTTAAAAGACGACAACGCACTGCATGAGGCTGCAGAGCCTGGGGGAGGAGAACCTGGACGAGCCCGAGAGCAGTGCCCAATCCGGGGTAGAGAGGGAAGCTGCAGGGAGTGTCACACCTCTGTCCTTTTTGAGTTTTAAACCATGTAAAGCTACTATCCAGCCAATGATTTTTTTTTTTTAACTTAAAAATATTTTTAAATGAAGGAATAAAAATGAACACCCCAATCCTGTCCTTTAATCCCTGCCTGCACAGCAGCCACCCCCTGAGAAGCCTAAGAAAGCCTGGCTGCTTCTGAGCCGGGGTCAGAGCCTCTGGGTCACAGAAGACGTAAGGCCGACTTAACAGACTCAGTTCATTACGTTAGTTACCGTTTCCCCACAAAAAGCTCTGTGAGGCTCATTTTTTGTTCTGTTTTTGATGGGGCTACATATAAGTCACAAGCCCCCAAGCCCAGCTGTGCAGCTTAGATGCTCCTGAGGTAGCAAGGCATAGTGAACCCAAAACTCAGTGGGCCAAGAGAGTCTGTGCTGAGGCCCCCAGAGAGTGAGGGGCGACAGCCTGGACCCTGAGCCCATCGGATTACACTGCATTTTAAGTGGGACTCAAACTAGAACACGTTTAAAGGAAAACCATCAGGAAGTGGGCACGGGACTCAACGCCACCAGGTGTGGTGGGGGAGCGGAGTGCGGAGTGGGAACAGGAGGTGCTGGGCTCAGGGAAAAGACGGGCCATCTGCAGGAAGAGGTGCCTCGTTATCTACACCCACACAGGCCGAAGCAGGCTCCGTGGGTGGAGGCTGCAGGCTCTGTATTCCAGCTCGACACCCTGGGAGACATGGACTCAGTCAGCTGATACTTCCCACTGTGGGGGTTCTAGCACAAGCTGGGCAATGAACTGTGGCAAGGTCTGTGGGGGAGGATGACAGTGAATTTTTGAACCCCAAAACGCTGCTAGATGAAAGCCCACGTTTCTTCTAACACAGAAGGCTGTTAACCAGCTCTTAACTTAACCTCCTTGACCGGAAGGCAAAGACAGACAACATGGCTTAAATGAAAGAAAGGTGAGCTACAGCTAGTCACAACGAAGGGCTTGCCCGGAGGGAGAACAATGGTTAAAATCTGATTTGGGCAAATCCCTAAAACTAAACCCAAATCCTCTCGAGAAAAGATAAAAAGCTAGACCCAGCAACATCCGTGCACAAGGACAAAGGGTCGGCGATATAAACTAAGCCTGAGCCACCTCACGCCGGATTCTCTGAGATTCACAACCCTGTGAACACAGGAAAGGCTTTAAAATCACACCTGTGCAGATGTGCTTCCTGGGAAACTCCAGGGATTGGCGGGAGGGGAGTTTTTAGCACTCGACTCACCCCCAGGTTTTCCTGGTGCCTCCTGGGAAGTGGCCAGCCTGAGTACAAGTGGGAGCAGGGGGGGGTGGAGACCAGAAGGCTATCCAGTGGGTCTTACTGGGAAAATAATGGGCTTAAATCTGGCATTTAGCACCCTCTTTCCGGCCTCAAAATACTTGGATGGACCTGGCTGTAGTGTGTGTATGATCTCTTTTCATAAAAAACGAAAAAACCTACTGTGCGTAGACATTTATCTGTGTGTCTGTGTATAACAGGCAGACATGGATGATTATGCTACACTGTTAACAATGGTTGCCTCAAGAGAGAGAAATTGGGGGAGGGAGATACTAAAGGAATACTACCTTTTTCTCTGCATGTGTATTTTTCCTATGCTACGTGTGTGGGATTTTTACAATTAAAAACATAGAAAAACAAAAGAATAAAGCAGACGTTCTGGCCTTTGCCCTGCCTCCACGCACACAGCCACCGCCGCACAGCAGACAGAGGCGACGCACCCTTGCGTCTTCTGGTGCCAGTCCTCCCGGATGAGGTTGGAGGTGTGTATGACCACCCGGAGGCCTTCTTCGTACAGCAGGAGCATCATCTTCCTTTAAAGACAGAAAGGCATTCACGGTACTTTAAAAAAAAAATGTAATACCTTTCTAATGCAAAGGTAATAGCTAAAGGAATTCTTCAAAGGCTTATATTACCCGCACGTTTAACAACTATAACCCTCCTTTCTTCTGCACACTAACTACCAAAGTCTGCTAAGTGGTAGGTAGAAAACGACCTCCCAGAATGCTCAGAGTACCTGGTGGTCCACGGACATGCCCCGCCCCCTCCACATGGCCAGTCCTGACACTTCAGACCCCTCCCTTCCAGACTGGTCCCTTATTACCTTCTCAGCATCATCTGTTCCTGTTAGGGACAACAGGAACCTTCTTGTCCTGTGTCTTTTAAAGTTTGGTCACAACCCCTTGCTGTGTCATTACGAGCATTTAAAAAAAATTGCAAAAGAATAAATAATAAACTCAACAGTGCATTGCATAAATTTAAGTTCAGTATTGGTTCATGGAACTTGTTTTGTAGACTGAAAGGTCAAATGTACTTTTTTTTCTTTTTAGAGAATATTTTTTATTGATTTCAGAGAGGGAGAGAGAAACATCAATGATGAGAGAGAATCACTGATTGGCTGTCTCCTGCACTCCCCTTCTGGGAATCGGGCCCTCAACCTTGGCATCTGCCCTTGACTGGAATCGAACCGTGACCTCCTGGTTCATGGGTTGATGCTCTACTACTAAGCCACACTGGCCTGGGCTCAATGCATTTCTTACTGTGGGTTGTAGTTTAAAAAGAGGAGTGTAAAAGAGCCCTAGCCAGTGTGGCTCAGTGGATAGAGCATCAGCCTGAGGACTGAAGGGTCCCAGGTTCGATTCCCACTGGGGGCACATGCCTGGGTTGTAGGCCTGATCACCAATAGGAAGCAGCCAATCAATGATTCTCTCTCATCATTGATGTTTCTACCTCTCTCTCCCTCTCCCTTCCTCTCTGAAATCAATAACGAAATATATTTTTAAAAAAAGCTGAAACCAGTTTGGCTCAGTGGATAGAGTGTCGGCCTGTGGACTGAAGGGTCCCGGGTTCAATTCCGGTCAAGGGCATGTACTTTGGTTGCGGGTACATCCCTAGTAGGGGGTGTGCAAGAAGCAGCTGATCGATGATTCTCTCTCATCGATGTTCCTAACTCTCTATCCCTCTCTCTTCCTCTCTGTAAAAAAACCAAAACCCCCCCCCCCCAAAAAAAAATCAATAAAATATATTTTTTTAAAAAAAGTGTGAAAGAGCCTTCATCTTCAGGCTCCATAGATGCCGCACTTGTCACCAGTGCACCTGGGCTTGAGGTCCGCCTTCCCTTTTCTTCTCCATTAACTCAAATCACGGGGTTTCCCACGCCTCCAGTCATCAGACACACTTCTCTTACTTTAACAACAGTGAGAGGGAGGAAATAGTGGGGAAATAAGAGTTTTTCCATCTGAAGTTGCTAGACCTAAGCTCCAGTCTCCACCAGGGAGAAGCCATACGACCCTAAGTCATTTAACATCCCTCAGTCATTCCCTGTCCCTGAACCTTGTTTTGTTTTGTTTTTGACACGTGTAACGTGAAGGATGAAGCCCTTCCTACCTCACAGGGCCGTTGTGAGGTGAGGTACAATGTGCACTCAGGTGGGTGTAAAACACTCTCGCCTGTGCACTCCCACTGGTCCTTCAACGCCTTCCTTTCTTTCGTCATCTGCCTGGGATGACTTGTAGCGTCTGCTTGTTTTCTAATTGTTTCAGGAATCTAAGCACTCTCCCTACCCAACCAGAGTCTCACTCCTCAAGGCATTAACGCTGCCCTGACTTTTTATTTCTATTGAGGCCAACATGCTACTTCATGTCTACTGGCGTAGTTCGGTTCACACAGGGAAAAATAAACAACATGGATACCGTTTGGACAGCGTGGAGCCAGTATAAAAAGATGCGGAAAAGAAAGTAAGGACAGAGAATGAGATTTAGCTCCTGCCACACTGAGAACATGACATGAGCTGGCAAACGGTAGATGAATGCAGAGCTGCAGAAATGACAGCTGGTGGGCCAATCGTCCCATGTATGACATGCGCGCCTGAAATCTGGGCAAATTTATGTCACCGTTACCAAACTAGCAGCTGACTGCCATTAAGAATAAGCCAGCTATGAATCCATGCTAAGAGTTTTACAAATATTCCCATTAAGCACCAATGATCAGAGAAATCAGGCACGAATGTCAGTGAGACCCGCAAACAGAACCGTGGACGGATTCAGGGGGGAGTCGCTCACATCCTTTTAGAGACAAAATAGTGCATGCCAATCAAGTCACAATTTAAAATGGATAAAAAGAGTAAGAATGGGGTCTCCCTTGAAGAGTGCTGACCTGCATGTTGCCTTCTGAGCTGTGGGGACAGCCAAAGGGACCCGTCCCAAATCTGCAGCCGTTCCTGTGAAGGGCCTGCGTGCCAGGCACCAGCCTAGAGGCTCCACGGGATGCCAGCACACAGTGCCCACGGTAACGCCGTCTCCACTCCACCCGCACCTCCTGTGGCTGGGAGACGGTGCTCAGAATGAGCCAGAGGGAGAGCTTGTGTGGATCAGACAAGCGGATCGCCCTCTCACTGTGCGTGGCTTCCGCAGGGATGGGCATGGGGTCGCAGGTCACCATGCCAGGGGTAGGAGTGGGCGAGGGGGGAATGCATGGCGTGACCTGGGTGAGGATGCGATGGGAGTGGGAAGAGGCCTGTCCTGCCGTCCTGTGGTCAGTCCGTTAGTTGACCTGGCTCCCGTTAGGCAGGGAACTGGAGGTGCAGATGCTCCGGCTCCCTCCTTCCCGCCTGCGATCCTCAGGGCCATGTGAGCTAACTTTGCTCCGAGTTCTGGGGAAACTGCTGCTTTAGAGTTCTAAGGCCTCGTGAGAGACTCCCTGGAACTGTATGACATCCTTCAGAAACACTGACAGAGCAGCTTACCGTGCCTCCAGGACTATGGGCTCCTGCAGGACGGCTGCTTCTGATCATTGCTAGCTGCTCTGCACAGAGCCCACACATGCCTGCTAACGTGAGCACCACCTCCAAGCCACTTCCTACTTACTGTGGCCGCTCCACTCTGCCCAATAGGGAGGTGGTTTACACCCCTTCCCCATGAGCTGCAAGGCTTTCCTCCTTTCCTAACTCATGTGTCTGTCTTGCCTCTCCGACCAAAAGACTAAAAGCTGCAAGAACAAAACTCATTATGTCCCAAACCCGTTATATCCCCAGAGCTGTCTCTCAAGAATATAATAGATATTTAATAATTTCTAAACCATTTAAAAAGGAGCAATGGACAGTGAATGCACGATATGAGTACAATCTCCTACAAGACACTGCCATGTTAACAAAATGCAAGCTACACATAATATGCGGGTGGGAAAGGTCCCAATTACTCCCTTAGGCATTTAAGGGCGAATCTGAGGGGTGGGGAGGAGAAAAGGAGGGGTAAATTTGCCAACTGGTTTGTGTGTTGGGGAGGGCAGGATGGACCACAGAAAACAATGGATCCATCTGAGCAGCAGCACTGGTCCAGGGAACACTGCTTATCTGCGTGGGGCCTCTGGTCTGGTCTGTGCAATGAAGACTCAATTGAACATCCATGTGTCAGACCCTGGCCAGGCCCAGCACACTCAGCCCCTCTTGGACAAAGGCACAGGCTCAGTGACTACTTGCTGGCATGTGGAATACAGGGCGACTGTTGGCACAGAAGGCGTGACTGGCACAGGAGCCTGGCACTGGGGGTCTAGGGAAGATGCTGAGCCGCTGTATACAATGCCATTCTTTATCCTCTTTCTGAATCAGCATCCTGTGAGTTCAGTGTGACCCAAACAATTACGGATCCTGTGGTGCCAGAGTCCACTCTCAACAGCTCTTGGACCCTGTCCTCCCCAACACACAAACCACTTGGCAAATTTATTCCTGAATGAATTAGACCGAAGCTCTAATTAGGGTTGGTCGGTAAATGCTGCAACATTTACTCAAGAGCATCTAAGAGCAGATAACGTAGGGTCGGTAGGTTGCCTTTACGAAATGGCTCAACTCTTTCAGCTCTGGTTCCTTTTTCTTAAAGCCATTGGACGATATAGTTTTAAGTGGACTGAGAGAAAGATGAACGTATGCCCTCATTTCAGGGCACCGTAATATCAGGAAATCGGGGATCACAGAAAGACTCACACTCCCTCCTAGAGATTCCCTTTTGCCCTACAGACAGACACTGAAGGAACATGCCGGAAGCTGCCAGCGACCCATTTCCACTACTGGTCTAGAAGACAGAGGAGGCTAGGTCACGTTCACTTCACAAATCCTTCCCAGAGAAACGTGCTTTATATATATATATATATATATATATATATATATATATATATATATGAAAGGCTGAAATAGGGACAACCATAGCTAGTCCTTATTCTCACTTGCAGAACCAATTACGTAAAAGGGCTCAGCAAAAATAGTGGCAGGACTGACATAAAGCAGGAGTCCAGCGGACATCGGCGCAACGTGCCAAGTAGGAAGAAACACAAGTTCTTCCCGTCTGGCTGGCAAGGCTTCAGAAGAACATTCGAGAAGAAATTTCCGAGCTGTTTTGAGCAGGGACAGGCATCAGCCTCTTGAGTTGACAACTTTTTGTAAAATAGTGTTTTTTTTTCAATCACGGGATATTCTCTACTTGATGTTGCTGAGACTCTCTTTAACATAGTGGCATCCACAGCGCGTTACTGACACATGTACAGTCACTCTTAACCACAGTATCTATTCTCCTACAGCGAGTGTCCAGAAAGAAAAGCAGAAACGGCACCAGAGATTCGGGCTTTTGAAGTATTGTAGCTGCAGGCTGTTAGAAAACAACTCCACTTCCTCTATTTCCTTACTGATAGCATTCCCACTCCTCCCCTCCCTTTCCCAGCAAAATCATCACACCTGAACTCTGAACTCCTGCAAGGGCCTTTCTGAATAGCATCCTTTGATTTATTAACACCATACCCTCTCCCCAGCTCATAAAAATTGCTTACGTGTGGTGTGTTCCAAATGCAATATCCAACTTTGCCTAGGATGAAAAAGAAGTCAAGTCACTTATTAAAAAAACCCTCAATATTCCTACCTATTGGAAATTAAATTAGAAATGGTTCAGGTCTTTTTTTCTTTTTTTTCTTCTTCTTCTTTAATTGCTTTTACTGCCCTCTAGTGGACAAGCCTTTGATAACTACAGCTTTTATAATATCCAGTGAGGCTTGTTTTTAAAAACTTATTTCTTAAAAAGTTACCCAGAATAATTCAATACTTTCTGCATTTTTCAATTATAGTAATTAGAAGTTAAAAAGCCTAATTTCTTTAGTTGTCAAAAACTAATAAAAACAAATGAGTGTTTGCAAAGTTTTAACACGAGAAATTTGGCTTATACAGAAATTAACAATTGCAAAAAAAGTTTTCAGCACGTATTCAAAAAACACTCAGTGGTAGCATCAGAAAGACTTGTGTTGTGTTGTTAAAACAGAAGTTTTCTTACATTAATAACATAACAAGTACTGAAAAATAAAGAATATATTAAATTTTCTTATTACAAAATGATTATCTTCACATATAAATGGGGCATAAGTGGAGAAGTAAAACATTTTATCTAACACCCAGTATAGCAAGACCTTAGTTAAACAGTCTATGCCCCAGATGTAGGCTAGGAAAGAGTTAAAGTAGAAACATCAAAATAGCAGTTAGGTATGTGCAAACCCTAGCTTCACAACTTTGCATGTCTTTGAAAAATACTTAAAATCTCTGTGCTTCATCTTACTCCTCTTTAACATGATGGTGCTATTAGGGGATTCGGAGTTGTTAGGAAAGGGGCCTGGACCGGCAGTACTGCTACAAGTCCCACCCACCAACCACAGGACAGGTGGGTGGATCCGTTTGCCGGAGGCAGTAATAAGCAACTGAACACACAGGTGAGGACACAGGCCCTGGACTGGAGATGCTCACGGACAGGTGGCCCATCCACTATCTCGTACACTCAGGTTGTGAGGTGCTCACAGACCAGCATGCATTTGGCCACAGAAGAGAGAACAGGGAACTGTATTTGATGTCTTTAAAATTACAAAATGAGAATGAAGACTGCCGCTCTGTAAAATGATATTTAGCTGGGAAAAGACATGGTCAAGAGACTTGGCTTTTGAGTTGTTTTGTTGTTATAAGTTGTGTGATTTGGGGCAAGTCTAAGCACAAAATCAAGGACGATAGTAACTTGAACAGATAATATCAAATGGGCGCTTTTGGGTGCAAATGCACCACATCCTGTACAACAACCCAATGAAGAACAGCATTAGCAGTCCACTTAATCATGGAGGACTTAGGCTTAACCTGGTTCAGCGATGAGCCCAGGATGACACGGTGAGCATGCGCAGAGCTGGGACAGAACCCGGGCCTCAATCTTCGACCTCTGGCCCCGCATGTACAGAATAGAAGTGTTAGCACACGCAGATTCTTTGACATCAACGTCAAGAATTCATCTTACAGACAAGGCACAGAGGTATTTCAATAGGCCAGAATGGGGCCACAATCCTTCTGTTCCTCGGACTACATCTAGGAGCTTCTGAACAGCTCTTTGCACAAGGTTTGAAATATTGTGGCTCGTTCTGCCCTCTAGTGGCCGGTCTGGAGCAAGCCATCAGGCATGCCACAATGTCTCCAAAACTTCTCAGGACAGGGAATCTTTGAAAAATATGATTTCTATTGATTTAATCACTGTTATATTTTTAGTCTGATGAGAGCTATCCTACTGCAGTTTAGCCTCTTCTGCTTGGGCAATCAAAATAAAAAAAAATTGGATTTTAGGCAATGGCTAAGCAAAGGTTTATCTGTGCAGAAGTGAGCTATAGATATGTTGGGAAAAAGAATGCTTTCAAATTCCAACTATATAAAGGGCAATGGTTGAATCACAGCCAGGTTTTGAGAGGCATGCTGGCTGACTAGAGACAACCAGAGGAGGTCTGAAAGTTGGGGAGAAAAAGGGAATCCATGGTACATCCAATACAACTGAACAAGGTGAGACAACTAAGGGAGATGTCTTCAAACATAAGAACCACAGACACATGCTAGGGGGAGAATTACTGTATGTGCTCCAGAGGGAAAAATTAGGACCCATGTGTGGAAGTCACAAAGAGGAAGGTTGTGATGGTTAATTTCATGTCAGCTTAGCTAGGACACGACATCCAGATGTTTGGTCAGATGTTGCAGTGAAAGTACTTTTTAGATTAAAACAGATTACCCTCCACAATGTAGGTGGGCCTTATCCAATCAGTTGAAGGTCTCAGGAGAAAAAAAAAAGACCCACTCCTTCAAGGAAGGAAAATTGAGTCTCCAGACACCTGTTCTTGCCTGCATATTGGACTTGCCAGCCGCCCCCATACATAGAGATGTGTTATGTGTCTTCCCTGAAGAACTCTAATACAGAGATAAGAAGCCAACACAAAGAAAAAAATCTTTCTAACCACAAGGGCTACCTCAGGAAGCATTCAAGCCAAAGCTAGACAACATCTGTTGGGATGCTGGAGGGAGGATTCCCGCACGCGGCAGGTAGGAAGAGGAAATGTCTAAACTCCCTTCCAACTCTCAGACCGAGCATGATGGCAACAGCAGCTTACCTGGCAGAGGGAGATGTTCCCATAAGGCTTGGCCTCGGCGTGCAGCTGAGCCTTAGCTTCTCGTTTATCGCCATGCACCAGCAGGATTGGCTTATTCCTGAAGAGGCCAGAAGAATATGAAATACATCATTCACCGAGCTGGACTCTTGCCTGGTGAGGGAACACCAGCTTCTTTATCACCCACACGTGCTTCTGGCCTCTGTGGAGACTGAGTCCAGGGCTAACAGAGCACGTCAGTTCATCTTCACTGACCAGTTACCGTGACAATGGGGTCAAGGGGTTCGATCCCGAAGCTCTACGTTGACTCAGAGGGGTTGTGACTCAAGCAAGCCCTTAAGTAATGAATTATCTTTCTTGGTCCCAAAGGGCACATGGTTACCTCTGTGTTAATATGTATGTTTAAATTCAGACGGATTAAAGACACAACATTACCGTTGTATAGCGTGATGCTCTTTTCTTTCCCTGCTGTTGGGACCTTGCCAGGCCTACATTTACCAAGCTCCTACTGTGTGCTAGGAACTGCACTAGACTGGAGGCTACAAAAGTGAACAGGCCCAGGTCCACAAGAGCATGCAGACTCATTAAAGGTGGTTCTATTGCAATGAAACAGAGCCCAAGTTACACTGAAAATGCTGGGGTTTTTTTTGTTTTTGTTTTTAATTCCTAAAGGACAACATGAGAAGACTCTTCAGGCCTGGCTGGCGTGGCTCAGTGATTGAGCGTTGACCTAGGAACCAGGTGGTCACAGTTCCATTCCCGGTCAGGGCATGTGCCCAGGTTGCAGGCTTTATCCCCAGTGTGGGGTGTGCATGAGGAAGCGAGACAATCCCTAGAAATCAATATACCTTTGCAAGCACACCCAACAAAACTTGGATTTTTATTCAAGGAACACTCAAACAAGATGAACAAAGGTAGCTTCTTCCACATGTTCCAATCACGATGCAGAATGATCCTCTACCCTATGTGAAGGGCAACATGCAACTAAAAAGAAACATTATAGAAAATGCACTTCCGGTACAAGCACCTAGCTATCTAATCCCCAAGAACTTGATAACACGTTAGTTCAAATAAAACTAAGAAACCACACCTTCACAACTTTTTCCTATTTTACAACTAGAAAATCAGGACAGAAAATAATTAGTGTTATCAGATCATCAGAACTTTTCTTAAAAATAAGAGATTAACCATTACTGACAGAAGTTGAAATCTGCACGAACTCCTTCAAATTTATTGGTCCCATAAACTGTTACCAAAAGGCTGTTGAGATGGTTCCTTTTCCGTGTCAATTGACTGGGCCAAGGGGTGATCACGTAAAACATCATTTCTGGGTGTGTCTGGGAGGCCGTTCCTGGATGAGATGGGCCTTTGAAAGGGCGGACTCCAATGTGGGGGCCTCATCCAGTCCACTCACAGCCCAAGGAGAAACAAAAAGTGGAGGGGGAATTGTTCTCTTCCTCTTTAGCCAGCTGCCCATAATACATCTCCATATAGTGTATTTCCCATGGGTTCTGTTTTTTTTCCTGGAAAACCCCTCTAAGGGCAGCATCTGAATGATGATATAAGGCAGTACAACCTCTGCGGTCAGAATTTCTGTCAATTCTGGATGTTGCCTTAACTTGACAGTTAGGCCCTTCCTCCTCCTTACAGCTCCTGATGGCTGGCATTCCCCATGTGCACTGAGCAGCCAGTGTGTGTGGGAAGGCAGGACCCGTCTGTCCTCTGACCAGTTACTGAGGGTCCAAGGGGTACCAGACAAGTCTGTTGGGGTGGGGGTGGGAGGGCATAATAAAATACCACAAGCCTGTGGGCTTAGACAACAGGACTTGTCTCTTGGTTCTGGAAACAAGAAGGCTGAGATCAGGTGTCAGCAGGGTTGGTTCCCGGTGAGGGGGGGGCGGGGCGGGGCGGGGGGGTGGTGGGCTGCTCCAGGCCTGTCCTAGCTTCCGGGCGGTATTCTCCCTGTGTCTTTGCTCTGTATGTGTCTGTGTCCAAATGTCTCTTTCTCATGAGGACACCAGTCACATTAGAGTAAGACCACCCCTTAATGACCTCATTTTGATTTGATTATCCACCCCCCAAAAAACTTACTTACAAATAAGTCACATTCTGAGGTTCTGGGGGTTAGAACTCCAACAGATCCTTTTTGGGGTAAGACAATTCGATCCATAACAGATACACAAGGAGTCGTGGCCTATACTTCAGCAACACTTGAAAGGTGTGACAATTTGATTTCAAGATCTTTGAGAAGCAAAGGAACGAATAACAAAAAGATGCCAGTGCAACCAACAGGGACGTCTGTGGCCAGGAGCCCATGCAGACGGGCTTGCTGCCTCCCGAAGCCCCTGATGTCCGTTCTCTCCTTTCCTAACAAATCCCGACCTCCCTCAGAGAGGGTGTGCTCAGCCTAACATCCTTTACAGCCTCTTTCAGAGCCAGTCATCATCCTGTGACTGCCGCTCAGCGAAATATAAGCAAGACGTTAGGTGGGACTTCAGGATGGCCGCTCAGAGGGGCCCCAGCTGGGACGTGCCGTCTCACCCTTCTCCCCTTTCTCCTTCCTCCCTGGAACACAGACCGGGGATCCGGGGCCCCAGGTGGACAGAAAGACGAGAGGGCGACTTCTCTGAGAACCATGACGGCCCCAATCCAGACCTTAAATGTCTACCTTGTAGACTGTCTTAGGTTGGAAAAAATGTTTTCTTTCTTGTGAAAGCGGCCGTTATTTTGGGCTTTCTGTCACAAGCAGCTAAAACGAATGCTATGGGTCAGAGGTCAAATACAAGCCCTGGAGTGCCAGCGCCCTGGCAAATTTCAATGGCATTTCTTCTACCGTTAATGATGGTTCCCACCATCTGGTTCCTAAGTGAACCCACGACTCGGAGGGCCTGACAATCGTTCTTCCCGCGTGTGCCTTCCTCGGCCTTCCTTGCTGTTACGGAGCCTGCCATGTAAACGCGTTAGAAACCAGGACGGCGCATGTCACTGCGTGATGCTATTCAGTCTGTGTTGCTGGACCCCAGGCTTTTGAACTCCAGGTGACAGACTGAAATCCATCACCTCCATCACCTGGGTAAGGGGAGGCCCTGGGACCCCTTTATTAACACAGACTACAAGGAGAATCATTTAGAAAGCGATTCTCAGCACAGTGTGATGTGCTAAGTAATGCTGGCCGCGTGTGGGCATGCTCACAGGGCTGGGCGGTGGGGTGGGGCTAAGGGAGGGTGCTCTTCTCCTTCACCCTAACACAGACATAAAGTTCTCTTATGTGGGATGGAAGATGTCCTGATCTACTTCTGGACAGAGAAATAGAAGATATGCTCAATTCTGTAATAGGAATACATGTGATTGATTAGCTAGAAAAAAAAAATGCTGTTTTCCCAATGTTTGTATGATCAGGATGGTTTCAGAAGACGTTCAGCAAAGATGGCCGGCAGCTGCCTGAGAACACAGATCGTTGTGTTTCAATGGCACCTGTCATCCCGGGGACTCACCTGAACTCCCGGGGATACTGTCTTATGAGCCAGTCCACGTCAAAACAGTAGTTAAACTAGATGGAGGGAAAAGAAAAGCATGTCAGTCACGGGTGACTTAGCCAGGCAGTCTATACAGAGGGCTGGGTGGTTATTTGATGGAAAGAAACTCTAAAATAATGATGAACCACATGTTTCATTTATAAGCCCAGACAGTTCTGCCACATTATTCATAAAAAACCTGCGATACACCTTGAAGGGAACGCATGCCCCGGAGGTCTGAATCAGTGGAGGAGCGTGTGAGAAAGCAGGTTCTGGGCAATGATGTCTGCGTGCTTGGCGGCATTTGTATCTGCTATTTCCAAGGGCTCTCTGATTAATTCAGACAAAGGGGCTTATAAATGTACCCCTTCCTCCTTCAGTGATTATGAAAAGGACTTTTACAAGAGACCATCCACTTTCAGCCCAACTGAGGAGCCGGCTTTGCAAAAAGGCATCTGGGACTGGACGTTCACTAAGCTTACAACGATTACAGCTTAACCCCCAGGTTCTGCGCTGGACTTACCCATGGGGCTCCTCCCCACACCTGAGTAGTCCTCACTCTCCTCCCGGAAAGAGGGACTCGCTCACCCCGAGGCTTTATCTGGAGACCAAGAACTGTGAGGCCAAGCCAAACATGGAGGCAAGAAAGCTTTGCTTTCTTTGGGGAAGTGGCCCTTTTTCTGACCATTTACTTGACCCTCTGGGGCATTAAGGTGATTTATCAATACAAAGCAACCGGCTCCCTCAGGCAGGAGCAAACCACACATGCAGAAAGAAGTAGCCATAACTTTTCGTCACTTTTTTGGGGGGCAGGTGCAGGAAATGTCTTGGCTTTCACCTCTCCACCCACAGCTATTTGGGGATCACACCTGAGTGCCATAAGATTATCAGTGTTCCCAAAAGAGGTCCCTGCGGCTGAAATTTTTAAAGTGACTTCATAGCCAGTCCCTGTAGCCCAATCCTGAGCCAGGAGCCCAATGGTCGAGGCATCCAGGCTTCATGCTGGCGCTGTGGCAGGTGCCATCTCGGGGACCCTGCACAGGACTGAGACACGGGTCCCCTTGGCATTTCATCTACCGTTAATGATGGTTTCCACCATCTAGCTCCTAAATGAACCCAGGACTCTGGAACTGATGTGGACTCACTCCTATTTTCTCAAGGAGTTGTTTACTTATCTGTCCCTTTCCATAAAAAAACAAACAAACAAAAAAAAACAACGCAAACTCACCTGTGCTGAAGATACAAGTGTCCCAAATAGAGGAGATAAAATATCTGTGAAGAAGAAACATTTAAACGTAATTCATACTTTGAAAGACATTCTCTAGCAATAATAATCACAACTGACTTAATCATCACCGATGCTCAAAAATTTCGCTTAGAAAACTGCGAACCAGCCCTAGCTGGTTTGACTCAGTGGATAGAGTGTTGGCTTGTGGACTAAAGGGTCTCCGGTTGGATTCTGGTCAAGGGCATGTACCTTGGTTGTGGGCACATCCCCAGTAAGAGATGTGCAGGAGGCAGCTGATTGATGTTTCTCTCTCATCGATGTTTCTAACTCTCTCTCTCCCTTTCTTTCTGTAAAAGATCAATAAAATATATGAGAAAGAAAGAAAACTGTGAACTGAAAAATTACTACAAAGCCAGGCTTTAATTCCCTAACTTCAAGAGAAAATTTCCCAGTGCTGTTTCATAATACTTATTATGTATTCTTTAGTAAAATACAATGCAAAATTAAAGGCTACAACTTCGATACTGGATGAGCGGTCAGTTTTAGAAGCTGCCAATAAGGACAACAATGATGCATGCAGTTTTTTCCAGATCTCTGAATTTTTACCACTTTCATGTACTCCTCCAAGTCCCTTCCCAGCCCAGGACTATCTGGCTTCCTGTGAAGGAGAGGACACAGGTGTCCATAGCTCTAAGCTGTGGACACCCTCCGGCTGGAGTTAGCATCAGATCCCACAGGTGAAGGACTCAATCCCACTGGACTGTCCCCACCTCAGATACCAATCACAAGTCTAGACCTCCTGTGCTATAACTTGGGGGTTCCCATGATCCCCTCCTTGTGTTCCATAATTTGCTGAGAAGACTCAGAGAACTTTTGCTTACTAGGTTTCTGATTTATTATTAAAGGATACAACTTGGGAACAGCCAGGTGGAAGAGATACATAGGCTGGAGTGATGAAATGATTGGCCTTTAGTGGTTAATTCAACCTCCAGTCCTTCTCCTCTCCCTGGAGGTGAAGGATGAAGCTGAAAGTTTCAACTCTGATCACGTGGTTGGTTCTCTGGGCAATGAGCCCCCCTCCCCCACCTCCTTAGGGGCTTTCCAAAAGTCACCTCATTAACATAAACCCAGGCATGGCTGAAAGGGGCTTGTTACGAATAACAAAACACACCTTTTCCGCCCTTTAATTACTTTGGAGTTGTTCTAGGACAAAAACCAAGTATAGCCAGGGATGAAGACCGAATATGTGTATAGAACAATATGTCACACACCCCTCAGGGAATAATCAAAGCAACCATAGGCCATCTTTTGGTTCAGAACGGAAACATCTATTTGCATGCTGGCATCCTCTTTTTGCTTCTTTACAGGAAACCAAAACCAGGGTTCCAAGTAGAAGTTCTCAAACTGGACTGGGCATTCGAATTCCCCTCGGGGTTAGTGACAACATGCTTCCAGGGAATCCGGGTGGGGCCGAGAACATGCATTGATGACAGGTTTTAGGTGATGCAGATACTGCTGATCCAGGGACCAGAGAGAACTGCTGCTGTCCAGTATTTGCTACTTCATTAATAAAGTGTTACCGGTCAAGTTTAATCTTTAAAGTTAACAGTTAAAACCAATTTTAAACATTGCACTAAATAATCCAAAGCACTGCTCTACAGGGCCTGAGAAACAGCCTCTGATTTCTTAAGAGCTCCCTGCATTTGCTGTCAAATGCTCTTTTTCTCTTTCCTGGAAGGGATTAAGTCCAAGAGGATCTTGGAGAGCATTCTAGCTCCCCTCGTGCTTTCACCCGAGGGGCCCTCTCACGTGCACTGACAGCTCGGGACACCAGTGCCACGAACTTACCCTTGATGTGGAGGGCTCCAGAGTTATACTTTGGTTTAATTCCTGAGACTCTAGTGAGGTAGAACCGGAAGGGGTTCCCTTTATCCAGCATGTCCCAAATGTCCTGGCCTTCCCCGGATGTCTCGTACTCCTCTTCCTCCCCGGTGAGCCTGTGGTAGGCAGGAGGGCCATGACTTCCAGCCCCTGGAGCAGCACTGTCTTGGGGAGAGGAGGCGCCCTTCTCCTCTTTGACGTTCACTTTCTCAGCTGTGTCTCTGGCGGTCAGTGGTGGCTCTGGGGGCAGCTCATCGTCGCTGCTGGAGAGATGCCAGCCCAGCTCCTCCTGGGAACTGCTCTTCTGCTTCTTAGGAGGCGACACTTCGGAAACCCCATCTGTGTTGCTGAATTTCAGGGGTGACATCTTCCTCCTGTGGGCGGCTTTCCGAGACTCGGAACAGTTGTACCGTGGCTCACAGGCTGCTTCCTGCCCAGCATGGAGGAGAGAGGTAGATGGCTCATCCAGTGTGGGCTTTTCCTCCTCGCTTTCATCGCTACTGGATATCGTCCATTTCCCATAATCACCTTCCTGAGACATTCTCCTTCTTCTGGAAATGAAAGGGTGAAATATCGTTATTTCCCACTAGTGGCCCGGAGCACGAATTTGTGCACATTAAAAGGGGATTAATTAGAGAAAATAATTTAATATTGCTATTTGTCCTTTCTCTATAATAGAAGTGTCTGAGATGAAAGAAAATTAGTAAAATGTACATGAAAACCTTTCTCCTGTCAGAGTCTGGGGCGCACCATGGGACCCAAAGTCAAGTCCCCGCCCACCCACATGCGTCTCAAAAATTGAGTAAGCCCAAGCCCCAACCTCCTACCCCATTGGGCTAGGTCCAGACCTGGCCAGTCCCACTCTTGTCAAGTCCCACCTAGCAGGGGGCATAGCCTCAGGTTCCCTGGCCCAGTGTCAGGATGGGGGGCATGGCCTAGGTCCCCCAGCCCAGACCAGGGGGCTTGCCTTGAGGCCCCCCATCAAGCCACGCTGGGTGGAGGGCATGGCCCGAGGTCCCCCATCAAGCCTTCCTAGGCACAGCCTCAGGTCCCTCGGCCTAGCACCAGGAGGGGGGCGCACCTTGAGGGTCAAGCCCTGCCAGGTGGGGGATGTGGTCTAAGGTCCCGTCAAGCCCCGCTAGGTGGTGGTGGTGGGGGGAGGGGTGCGTATGCAGCCTCAGGTCCCCCAGCCCAGTACAGGGAGAGGGGCGCAATCTCATGTTTCCCGTCAAGCCCCGCTGGGCAGGGGAGCGGCCTGAGTTCCCCCGACCCAGCAGTGGGGGTGCACCTTGAGTTCCCCATCATGCCCCTCTGGGTGGGGGCACGGCCTGAGGTTCCCTGTCAAGCCCCACCTGCTGGAAGCTCAGCCTGAAGTCCCCTAGCCCAGCATCAGAATATGAAGCGCACCTTGAGGTCCCCCATAAAGCACTGCTGGGCAGGGGGTGGGCCTCAGGTCCCTTGGCCTGGCATGGGGTGGGGGTCGAGGCCTGAAGCCCTTTGGCATGGTGCCGGGGCAGGGGAAGGCATAGCCTCAGGTCCCTACTGATTGCTCCTTAAGGCTCCTTAAAGGAACTTGGCCTCAGCTGTGGATGTAGCCATTTTTGTGATGGGGTGATGGTCAATTAGCATATCCCCTCTTTATTAGATAAGATTCCCCAGGCCACTGGCAAACTACCTCTACTGCTCTTGGACTCCCTGTCCTATGAGCATCTGGACCACGAACAGCTCATTGACACCTACCAGACATCAGCTGAACCATGTAACCAACATCAGCTGCTTTGCAGGGGTTCTCAGGCACATTACCAGGACTGGCCATGGAATTTGGCAAAGAAAGCGACAGCAAAAGTTCTGGTCACCCTCTCTCCTCTCCCTTAGTCTTTCAATCTAGACGTTGTTCTTAGATGGGGGTTGAGCCAAATTCCAAAACAAAAAAAATGTTCATTGGTGACCCTGAAGCTTTCAACTGGTCGCTGGGATTAAGGCCAATTTAAGGAATTTCAAGAGTAATTCTGAGTATGCTCAAACTTTTTGCAGTCAAATCGGAAATTAGATAGCTATTCCTCACAGAAGTGTGGAGCGCAAAGGACTTTAGTGATTATTTCTTACTTCCCCAAAGATAAGCTACTTACCATAAATCTTAACAAAGCCCTCAAGACAGTGTCAAATGACCTATTCTGTCTCTACATTATCTAGAAATACTTCCATGAGGACCCAATTAACTTAGTAATTATCCTCCTGGCCTGGCCCTAAATCAAACTGCTAAAACCTGCAGGGAAAGAACTTGTGCTGAAGCAAAAACACTTTTATTTTGTGACCCACACTGGGTAATTTGAACTTTCTTTATCTGACAAGAGAAAAACTGATGCAAGGGAGAATGAAACCTAAAGAAATTCTCCCACCAACTGCCAACTTGAAATGTTAAGAGCTTTTCTATTAAGGATTTAAACAATTTGTGGACGCAAATGAGTACTCCTCTTAAAGCTGCTAGCCCCTCTCCCCCCTCCACACTACACCCAGCTGGGGATTCTTTAATACTTCCAGCTGCTTCTCTTTATGGATCCTGCAGATCCATAAAGGTTACTCATACAGGTTACTTCACTGCTGAACCTCAGTTTCCTCCTCTATAAAGGGGTACCATACCTACCTCCCAGAGTTCATTCCTTCAACAAATACTTACTGAACAGCTACTATGTGCCCATCACGGGGAATTAAGAGTTAACAACATACAAATGGGTTTTGCCCTAGGAGAACTTATATTTCAGGGGTAAAGAAACAGACCAGCTGAAACCGGTTTGGCTCAGTGGATAGAATGTCAGCCTGCGGAATGAAAGGTCCCAGGTTCGATTCTGGTCAAGGGCATGTACCTTGGTTGCGGGCACATCCCCCGCAGGGGGTGTGCAGGAGGCAGCTGATCGATGTTTCTCTCTCTCAGTTCATCAGTGTTTCTAACTATCTCTCTCCCTTCTGTAAAAAATTAATAAAATATATATTTAAAAAAGCGGAAACATTAAAAAAAAAAACAGACCAAAACAAAAATAAACAAACCCCAAGATATCTTTACAGACATTCCTTACTTCTTATAGGCATGAGCGAGAATCAGGGCAGCCCTTTCTCTGGAACACTCTGAATAAGTAATATTTAAGTGAGACCTGTGGGATGAAAGGAACCAGCGGGGGGTGGGGTGAAGCAATATTCCAAGTAAAGAAACCCAACCTGCAAAGGCCAAGAGGTGGAAACGAGGCTGGAATCATTGCAAGAGCAAAGGGAAGGACCTGGGCAAGGAATACAATGGCCCAGGATGTAGGGGGTGGGGAAGAGGAGGAGCAGGGCGAGTTAAAAGATACTGGATTTTATTCTAAGAACAATGGGGCGCCCCTGGGAGGGCTTTCGTAAGCCGGGGAGCACCTTGGTCCTTTTGACCCCCTTAAAGATTATTCTGTTCCTTACAAGTCTGGGTGGAGAATGGTTTGGAGACAGAAGTCGAAGTGAATGGGACGGCGACATGAAATGGGGATGCAGATGGTGGGGTTGGAAGCGAGTGGATTCGGGGTACGTCTGGGAAGTAATGACAGCTGCTAACTTTCCTGTGCACTTACCTCGGGCCGGGTACAATGCCAAGCGCTTCACCAGGGACTAACTCATTCCACTCTCACGCGTCTACACTGAGTACCACGACAGGTGCCATTTATGGAGAAACTGAGCACAGAAAGGTTCGGTGCCTGGCACCTGCCCAGCTGTTCCTCCTAACAGCCGGCACCACCCTCCCACCCCGGGGCGCAGGGGGGTAAGAATCCGAGCTGGGGAGCCCTCACGCCCCCTCTCCCCGCAGGACTCGGGTCCCAGCGCCGGCCGCTCGCACCTCAAAGGTACAGTCAAGGAGGAAATCGAGGCCCAGCAGGGGACCTACCTCGTGTCTTTCCTAGCCGCTCCGCTGCCAGCCCCGCCGCGCACTCACGTCTTCCCGGATCCGAGCAGGATGGCAGGTCCAGCGCCCGCAGCCTCCACAGCCTCCCGAGCCCGCAGCCACTCGGTCCAGCCCCGCCACGGCGGCCGGCGCCTGCGCGCAGTTCAAACTCTGCGGGACCGGCGCGCACCTCGCGGCCTCCGCTCGGCCCCTTCCACTTCCGGGACGCCCGCCGCTGGGTCCTAAAGCCCGCCGTGTCCACAGGGGCTGCTTGGAGCTCTCCCAGCAGGAGGAGGAGAGGGAGACCTGGCTGCCTCTAGGTCTTCGCTCACCTCCTGGCCACTCCTCTCAAACAAAAACAAAAAATCGGAGGGGGAAAAAGAATTGTTGCCTCCCTCTATCTTAGTTAGCAAAACTCATCCTATTTACAGGGATTCTCAGGGCTGGAGGCTGCTGCTGCTGCTGCTGCTGGTGGTGGTGGTGGTGGATAGACGTTTAAAGCCAGAGGGAGGACCAGCTGAGGTTCGAGGCAACTGAGGACTGAGACCTGTCCCCCAGGAGAAGCGGGCTTGTCTGGGGTGCACACTGTAAAACCTGTTGTGAAAAATAAAAGGTTAAATAAGCTCCCCTCGGACTCGGACTCCAATGCCTGTTTCTTAGTTGAAACCCGTGCTTGTGTGCCCGTGTGTGCCCGTGTGTGTGTGTGTGCCCGTGTGTGTGTGTGTGTGTGTGTGTGTGTGTGTGTGTGTGGTTTTTCATCTTTCTGATTTGAAAGGCATCTAAGATAAACTCCTTTGCAAAACGCAACCCTCTCCACAGTTCTTGTCTTGAATAAGGATGTTTGCTGTGGAATCTGGGCTCAGTGCTGTTGATGCTACTTATTCTCGGAGTTTCTTTTCTATCAAGCTCCTCCGCCTGGGGACTGAATTGAGTAACTTGCGTCAATGTCCTCAGGGGTCACTTGGTGCGTCTGCTTTGCGCCAGGCATCGGGACTCCCGAGAGGACAAAACTGATCCAGGCGGGCTCGAACCCAGTGACTTGCTGATCGATGTGCACGCGAATCGTGGACTTGGTTCTTTTTGTTCAGTTCCTATTAAACTTTGTCCACACACTCTTTTTGTGTGTCTCATAATAGCACAATGCTGTAGATCAAAATTATCAATAGTGCCGAAACCGGTTTGGCTCAGTGGCTAGAGCTTCAGCCTGCGGACTGAAAAGGTCCCAGGATCGATTCCGGTTAAGGGCATGTACCTTGGTTGGGGGCACATCCCAGTGGGGGGGTGTGCAGCAGGCAGCTGATCGATGTTTCTCTCATCAATGTTTCTAGCTATCTATCCCTCTCTTTTACTCTCTGTTAAAAATCAATAAAATATATTTTAAAAATTATCAATAGTAACTTATTGCGAGGTCTGGGGGCTGAGAATGAGAAGAAATCATTGAAAGCAGCGCCCGGGTCAGCTAGCTCCCCAGCGGCGCGCGTGGGGTTAAGCGGGCCAGACTGGGCGGGGCCTAGCGCTGAGGGGGGGGGGGGGGCGGGCCTGGAAGCCTCTCCGCCATTGGCTGCTCCGGGGAAACGTTATAAACAAAGCGTTTGGCCAATAGGAACTGCCGGACGAGCCGTCCAATGGGAGGAGACCTTGGCGGCGCCCGGCCACTTTCAGCTTCCAGACCCGCATTGTCCGGGGCGGGTGGTCTGCGGATCCCCGTCCGGGTCCGACTCCGTAGGCCGCTGGCGGGATGGTCGCGATGTTTTTCTCCGAGGCCGGGACCCGGCCGCGCACGTGGGAAGCCAGCCCTTCGGAACACAAGAAATGGGTGGAAGTAGGTGTCTCGGGTTTTAACTGGATTCGGAACGCTCTCGCTTGGGTCTGACGGAGCCTCCTTGCAAAAAGTGACTTTGCTAATGGCTGAGCCTAAGGCTGCAAGGCTCTGCCCCTCTGTCCTGTGTTCTGGCTGCTCGTCAGTCCTTTCCCTGCTCCTCCGCTACAGGGTCCACTAAGTAATCTGCATCTCTCCTCCCGCCTTTCAAAGCAAGCCCCTTTGACTCACCTTCCTGAGTCTAGGACCGAATTTTGTTTGTTTTTGTTTTGTTTGTTTGTTTGTTAAATATATTTTATTGATTTTTTTTTTTTACAGAAAGGAAGAGAGAGGAATGTAGAGTTAGAAACATCCACCAGCTGCCTCTTGCACACCCCCTACTGGGGATGTGCGGGCAACCAGGTTACAAGCCCTTGACGGGAATGGAACCTGGGACCTTTCATTCTGCAGGCCAAAGCTCTATCCACTGAGCCAAACCGGTTTCAGCTAGTACCGAATTTTGGGTTGAAAATTATCCTAAGAGTTTAAAGGAATTAACTTGTGTTAGGTTAGCGATGAGGTCGTTGGAACTCTCGAAGGGGGTACATGTTAGCCCAATCATTAAGATTTCTGGAGAATTAAAAGTAGGATTATGAAACTCCCATCTCCGAGCCTACTGGTGGGCCGAGTTTTAGATTTTGGAGGCTCCAATGTAATAGAAGCTGGTAATAATAAAGATAATAGAACAAATGGTTCCGTTCTGAACTAACGGTATTTCATGTTCTTTAGGTATTCAGAGCATGTGATGAAGATAACAAAGGCTATCTAAGCAGAGAGGACTTCAAAGTTGCTGTTGTGATGCTGTTTGGGTACAAGCCCTCCAAGGTACAGCTTTCTTTGTTTGGGGGTGGGGCTGGCAATAGAACAATCCTACTACTGGTGAGTGGATCCTGATGGTTACGTGCAGAGGGCTTGCTTACAATGTTTTTTATAAAACTAATTGCTGCCTTATAAGCAGTTTCAGAGATATGCCCAGTACTGAATTTTACTTTTTCCTTCAGAACACAATTCAGGGGTGAATTAGAAAGCTATCTCACCACCAGACTGCTAGTAATTGTAAAAAATATGAGATGCTAGAAAGATATGAAGAGGGAAGGCCAGGAGGGGCGGTGTTGGAAATAGGAATTCACAGAGGAAGTGACATGCAGGTTGGTTTTGAAATTTAAAAAAAAATATTTTTGTTTGTTTAAATTATAAAAGTAATACATGGCCCGGCCGGCATGGTTCAGTGGTTAAGCTTTGCCCTATGAACCAAGAGGTCACAGTTTGATTCCCGGTCAAGCTTAAAGGCTCAATTCCCACTGTGAAGCGTGTAGGAGGCAGCTAATCAATGATTCTATCTTATCAATGCCTCTCTCTCTCCCTTTCTCTGAAATCAGTTTTTTTTTAAAAAGTAATACACAAATAACTAAAAAATTCAAACAGTGCAGAACCGTGTAAAGATGAATGTAAAATGGCCTCCCTCCTGTGGAGGAAAAAGAGACCACATGCAAACCTGACAAGCTCAGCAGAGGCCTGCGTGGCGGTCTTGCAAACTCAAAGACCTAAAGTAACCACAAAGGATGGTCTGAAATGAAAACTTCAGCGAAAAGCAGTTTAGAGTGGGTACTCACTTCCTAAGCCTGTGCCTTTCCTGACAAAGGTCAGTCTTTACCTTGACTGAGCCAATTGTCTTTTTGCATCTAAAATAATATACCTGTGGTCCTAACAGGTTTGGCTCAGTGGATAGACTATCGATCTGCGAACTGAAAGGTCCCAGGTTCGATTCTAGTCAAGGGCATGTACCTTGATTGCGGGCACATCCCCAGTAGGAGGTATGCAGGAGGTAGCTGATCAATGTTTCTAATTCTCTATCCCTCTATCTTCCTCTCTGTAAAAAAATCAATAAAATCTATTTAAAAAAAATAAAATAACATACTTGTGAAATGTCAGGGTAACTTGTAACTTCCCTTTTTCTGGACTCCTCAGCCACAGCCAGAGGCTTGAGATCTCCCAGACACAGACCACAAGTCCCTTCATTGCTATGGAGTTGATTGTTGACGGTTAACTATCTTACACCCACCTCAGTAAAAGAAGTATGTGCCAATCATTTTACTTTTTATCCAATCAAAGAGGTTCCCCTACCGCCTTTGCTTTCTCCCGCCTCTCTAATCTGTCACCAATGGATTTTATATCATCCACTTATGAGACTCTCCTTTGATTGTAATATATAAAACAAGGTTAATAGCTGTTATTCTCCCAATACGTTGAGATTCTGCTTCACAGCAATTGTCAACAGTTTTGCTCGGATAAACTCACAAAAATTCTTTACAGGTTTGAATGGTGTGTGTGTGTGTGTGTGTGTGTGTGTTTTGTGTTTTTTTACATTAACACTTTCTACCAGAGCGTCCCACTTATGGGTTACCATTATTAAGTTTATTGTGTATCATTCAAGATTTTCTATGCATGACCAACATATACATGCATAGCATTCTTTGAAAACATAACTTTCTTTTTTGACTTAACCCTAGTTGAACATAAAAGCACACACCATCACCACATTTTTTTAAAAAGTTGCACGTTATTTTCATTAGCCAGTTTCCTGGTTTTGGTCATTTAGATTCTTTACCTTGTTTTTCGTTGCTACAAACATTGCTGCTGTGTGCATCCTTTTATATCTGTATCTGTGCTTGTGGATGCACATCTGTGGATTAAATTCCCAGAAGTACAGTTGCTAGGTACATTTGAAATTCTGTTGGATATTAGTCTCCAGGAAAGGTTGCATTAATTCATGAATAATAAGAGTTGAGCTGAATTTCAATGAATCTCTTACGTTAGCAGGGCAAGTTTCCTATCCACCCCCACCCCGATCTTTTTTTTTTTTAAAGTATATTTGTATTTATATTTTTTAATTGATTTCAGAGAAGAAGGAAAACAGAGAGAGAAACATCAGTGATGAGAGAGAATCATTGATCAGCTGCCTCCTGCATGCTCCTCCCCCCCCCCCCACTGGAAATCAAGCCTGCAACCTGGGCGTGTGCCCTGACTGGGAATTGAACCATGATCTCCTGGTTCATAGATCGACACTCAACCATTGAGTCAAGTCAGCTGGGCTCCCACCCCCATCTTTGTGCTGCTCCCCTTACTATTACATCACATTTTAGAAATGCTTTCTTGTTAAGCTGCTGAACTGGAACTAATCAGAGACAAGACCTTGTCACATAAACAAATTTAACTTCAGCCATCAAGCAGAGGGACACTCAGAACTATGCCTGAACCGCTCACCATCATAGCCTTGTTAGTCCAAACAGCTTAGCAATCACGTTGACCCACTGTTGCTCACTAATCCATCCTTCCTTATGCTTAAGTGCATCACAACTTCACAGTAAACACGGTGTATTGACACAAGTAGGTCCTCTGAATAGCCCAGGTGGGTTCATGGTAGTTCAGCTACCGGGGGAGGTTAGTTACAGAGCTCAGAGAGGTAGGGCTGGCTCCCAGAAACTACAGCTTCCTGTTTACCTGCAAGCATTTCAGCCGGAATTTTAAAGCCGGTCAGCTAAGCAGACTCAGCCTTTGAAGCCTTGTATTTACCTGGTTAAGCTGGAAAGAAAGCAGGTCTCTTGCTTTTAACACCCCTGTGTCTACTTAGTTGTTTTTATTATTATTATTAAATATATTTTTGATTTTTCATAGAGAGAAAGGGAGAGGATAGAGAGTCAGAAACATCAATCCGCTGCCTCCTGCATACTCCCCACCGGGGATGTGCCCACAATGAAGGTACATGCCCTTGACTGAAGTGAACCTGAGACTCTTGAGTCTGCAGGCCAACGCTCTATCCACTGAGCCAAACCAGTTAGGGCCTTAGTTGGTTTTAATTTTAGAACCTAAGTGGGGGACTTAATGATAGTGGTGTGGTAACTTCTGAATGTACACTCCATGACATTTAACAGACTTTAGCTTGTGTTTTCATAACTGATTGAGGTTTTGGATTTTGTTGTTGATGTTATTCCTCACTGGAGACTATTTTTTCCATTGACTTTTTTTTTTTATTTAAGAGAGAGTGAAAAGGAGGGAGGGAGCGGGAGACAGAGAAACATGGATGTGAGAGAGACACATTGATCAGTTGCCTCCTGCATATGCCCTGACCAGGGCCAAGTATCAAACCTGCATCCCAGGTACATGCCCTTGCCTGGGAATCAAATCCTCAACTCGACCTCTCAGTGTACAGGCTGATGCTCTAACCCCTGAGCACACTGGCCAGGGCTGGATTTATTTCATTTTATTTTTATTTATTTATTTTTAAATATATATTTTATTGATTTTTTTACAGAGAGGACGGGAGAGGGATAGAGAGTTAGAAACATCGATGAGAGAGAAGCATCAATCAGCTGCCTCCTGCACACCCCCCAGTGGGGATGTGCCTACATGCCCTAGACCGGAATCGAATCCGGGACCCTTGAGTCTGCAGGCTGAAGCTCTATCCACTGAGCCAAACCGGTTAGGGCTGGATTTTATTTTTTAACCTAACAAAATGTTTATTGACTGCAGATCACTAAACAGTAAAGTACTGATACAGTAAATCACCCATGTATTTAATCATTTGTACAGTGAAGTTTTATTAAATAACACTTAGGTATACCCTTGGTAAAATTTAACAAGTTTTTACTTTTATACTGGGTTGAGGTTTGGGGTTTTATTTTTGGGTATTGCTTTTGAGCAAATGAAATATCTACTGAATGCTGATTATGAAGCAGTAAAACACTTATATAATAAATCACTTATACACCAATACAATTATTTACATGATGAAATTTATGAAGTGTTCCTACTTAATAAAAAGAGCATTTGCTACTTGCTAGAGATATAAAGGTGAATAAAACATAGACCCTACTTTGAAGCTGTTTACAATTTAATGTAGAGAGACTTATAAAACTATGGTAAATACTAAGATAGAGAAGAACAGAAAGTGAAGGGGACAAGAGGAGGCAACTGTAATAGGAGTCTGGGCACTGTTTAAAGGAGCTAGCTGGCCAGTGGGCTCAGTGGTTAGAACATTGGCCACTGCACCAAAGGGTGATGGGTTTGATTCCCGATCGAGGGCACATACCTAGGTTGCAGGATTGATCCGGCAGCTTTTGAAGGGGGCAACCAATTGATATGTCTCTCACATCAATGTCTCTCTCTCTCTCTCTCTCTCTCTCTCTCTCTCTCTCTCTCTCTCTTCTCTCCCCACACACACATCTCCCCCTCCCTCCCCTTCCACTTTACCCCACTCACCTTCTCTTCCTCTCTCCCTTCCTTCCACTCTCTAAAAATCACTGTGAAAAACATCCTTAGGGGAGGATTAACAATAACAAAATAGACTAGCGGAGCTAGACCTCTGATAGGAAGTGTCTGGGAGCGCGTGGTGGTGGTGGGAGGAGTTGCGTCCTATGGTTGATTGGATAAGGTGGTGGTAAGAGAGTGGCGGGACACCAGCACTGAAGCACTTGTGATGCCACCAAGTAAGAAGATTCAGGGAAAAGTCAATGCGTTCAGGTGGGGGCACGCTAAGTTTGAGGAGGCTATGAGCGTGCAAAGTGCACTCACTCATTAGATGCTGTGCTGGTGCCGGGGTTACAGTGGTAACGACCTGCTCTCAGATTGTGCTGCCTCTTAGATACAGGAATCCGAATGGGTGGAGAGGGGAGGGCTGGAGATAGATTGGAGACTCCTCCGCTTCCAGGTGGTAATGCAAAACGCAAGACTGGATGGCATTGCCCAAGAAGAGTATGCGGAGTGTGAAAGGCAGTAGCTTGAAGGTAGAGCTTTGGGGGTGTACCAACATTAAAGGGGAAGCAGGGGGCCCATGAAGAAAATGTAGTCAAAACCATCTGGGGAAGGCAAGAGGAACCAGGAAAGTATTGGGTCTGGATTAATCAAAATGAAAAGAACTAGAGAGCTAGAGATACTATCCAAGATAGAGATATTATGTCAGGTGCTGCCAAGTTCTAATTCTATACTGTTTATACTGCATTTTTCAATGTTTTAAAAATTGAATTCAGAGAAGAAGGGAGAGGGAGAAAGAGACAGAAACATCAATGATTAGAAAGAATCATCAATAGGCTGCCTCCTTCACACCCCCTACTGGGGATTGTGCCTGCCAGCCGGGCATGTGCCCTGACTGCGAATCGAACTGTGACCTCCTGGTTCATAGCTCGATGTTCAATGACTGAGCCACGCTGGCCGAGCTCTACTGTATTTTAATAATTAGTGAAAGCAGGTCCCTAAACTTCATATACAGTGTGTTCTCAAATATGTTTAAAATGCATAGACAAAAAAGCTAGACCAAAATGTCAATGGTTTTCATTGGATGGCTGAATTAAAAATTTTTTTCTTCATAATTTTTTATATTTTTAAGTTTTCAATATGTTACTTTTACAATTGGGGTCGGGGATTAAAAAATAAAACGGTTGTCACAATTTCTGTATTTGTGTAAAACGGAAAAGTTAACCATTCGGTTATGCTACCTGTGTGACAGCCAGGTTGATTTCACATGCCGGAACTGTTTCGGTCAATGGAGTAAAGTTTTGGCGTCATTAGAGTCTGTAGCAGATGAGAGTCTGGTCGGTGAAAGATGCTGATGAAGGAGTAACGTGACTGTTATTGCTGTCCTGTGACATGACTTGTCTGCAGGGCTCAACAAAGTGGGTTTCTCATAAAAGACATCCTGTCCCCACACCCTACGAATGAAGAACTTGCACTGTGAAAACATTCAGTGAAATGACGCTTCCTATTATTCTTTCTTCTTTTCTAGATCGAAGCCGATGCTGTGATGTCTTCAGTGAATCCAAACACTTCCGGTAATTCATGAAGTTAATATTAATTTTTTTAGTACTCTTATTGAGACATTTATGAAACCAAAACTAAGGGCAAACATGGAGACTAATAAAACATTGTGTTTAAGCACATCTTCGTTTTGTTCGGTTTCAAAGAAGTTTTGGTTCTTTTCATTGAGATTAATTCCTGTATTCATACGTATATACTGAGTGGCCAGATGATTATGATCTCTGCACGCATAATAATCTGGCCACTCAGTGTATTTGTGTCTCAAGTGGGTACCAAACGTATTCTAGACTTTTGCTGGAGATCAACCACCTATTTGCACCTATCAGCCAGTGCAAAGGGGAAAACTGATCAGGTGCACGATTTAAAGTATTTTTGATATCAAATAAATGAGGCACTCAAGAGAAGTACACTGAGTGGCCAGATTATTATATATTTAGAGATCATCATAATCTGGCCATTTGGTGTATGCTTATTTTAGGAAAATGTTAAGCCATTGAAAAGCGTAAAGAAAAAAAATGTTTGCTTATCATTTCAACATCCAACGGATGACCTGGGTTTTGTGATGTGGGCAGCTCAAGTGGCACTTACTGAAGAGTGGGGGAGACTAAGAGTTCAATTTTTAAATATATATATATATATATTTTATTGATTTTTTACAGAGAGGAAGAGAGAGGGATAGAGAGTTAGAAACATCAATGAGAAAGAAACATCAATCAGCTGCCTCTTGCACACCCCCTACTGGGGATGTGCCCAAAACCAGGATACATGCCCTTGACCGGAATCGAATCCAGGACCCTTTAGTCCACAGGCTGACGTTCTATCCACTGAGCCAAACCGGTTTTGGCTTAAGAGTTCACTTTTGAGGAGATGCAAGCCATGAGGGCAAGACAGCTGGGCTGTGTGACTCTGGAACTCAGAGCGAAGCTGTGGGCTGGAGAAACACATTGGGATCCTCAGCACGGAGAAGGTTGTGCAGCCATGGGAATGGGCGGGACCACCTCATGAGACAGAGGGGCCTGAGACCTTGAGGCTCTAGAAGCATCACATGTCAGGCAGAGGATGAGGGAATGGAAGCGTTTGGAGGGGCAGAAGGGCAGGGGGAAATTAAGCGTGGTTGCTCCAAAGCCCAGGGAAGTAGTAGGTATTTCCAGGAAGAGGGTGTGGCCAGCCCTGTGGGGGGGGGGGGGGGCACTGGAGAGTAAGTAGCATAAGGACTGAAGAGGACCCCTGGGTGTTGGCAGCCTGGGGGTGTTTGGTGACTAGCAAGAGCAGTGTTAAGTGTGGTGATGGCAGAGGCCAGGCTGGGAGGTGAGAGTGTGTGAGTGTGAGAGTGTGTAGCTCGGTCTTTCAGTAGGTCCAGAGGGGCTGTGGATCAAGAGCAATATTTGCTTTTTTTGAGAACATGAGTCTAAGCTTAGCAGAATGATCTAGAGAAGAGGGAAAAGGAAGATGAGACAGAAAGGGAGTTGAATACCAGTAGTTTGAGGAAATAGGGGCCAGTGCATGCTGGATTGGCTTTTTAAAAATTACTTTTTTTAAAGAAACAATGTAAAGTAGTATAGAGAAAGAGCTGTAGACCCTCTATCCAGATTCACTTAATATTAACATTTTGCCCCATTTGCCCTCTCATTTGCACTGTCTACTCTCTCTTGCTGCACTGTCCATAAGTACCTTAACATTGTCATAAATTTATATTGATACTGTATTTTTATCTAATTTCTTGTCTATATTCCATTGTCACTTTATTATTACTTTTTTGCCTTTAAAAAATCTTAAAAAATTGATTTCAGAGAGGGAGGGAGGGAGGAAGGGAGAGAGAGAGAGGGAGAGAGAGGGAAAGAGAGAGAGAGAGAGAGAGAGAGAGGGAGAGAGAGAGAGGGAGAAAGAGGGAAAGAGAGGGAAAAAGAGGGAGAGAGAGGGAGAGAGAGAGAGACGATGGATATTGGCTGGAATTGAACCTGGGACCCTTTAGTCCGCAGGCTGACGCTTTATCTACTTTATCTAATAATGGGTAGGACCATTATTACCCTTTTAGAACAATGAACTTATTTTGGTTTCATGTGTAAAAAAGAAAAAGCTCTCTAGGAACTTTTAACCTTTAACTTTGAATGATGGCAAAATCAAAGAGATTGATTTATCATAAAGGTGATTATGGGCTGTTTGACGCAGTCATGCTATCCAGCGTCAGTTTGATTGAAAAGTAATTTGTGGGTGCTGAGGTGAATGGCCAGTTGGCTTGTGTGCTTTTATTTATTACTATCCTGTCGGATTTGTTTTGAACCAGACAGTTGACTATTAAATATATTCTTTTTCTAAATTTAAATTTGCATTTTCTAGTCTTTTAAGTTCTATGTAAACATCTAAGGCCATGCTATAACCAGGATAACTAGGTTTTGTTTGTTAGACTTAAGATGTCGAGTGACTTCTTAGTTCTTTTCTATAATTAGGAAACGGCATATGCATTAAGATTTCCTTTTCTTGAAACTATAATCCTAGGACCATTTTGTGGTGTGGCCAGATATTCATCCCTGGATTAATTTATTTATTCACCCATTTAGAGGATGTTAAATTTCATTGTTGAGATAGGGAAAAAAAAATTAAGAGACACAGACATTGACCTAAAGACATTTAAAAAAGATACAGAACAAGGTAGGGAGGATGAATACTGTAGACAAGAAGGCCTCTAAATACAGGGGAAGGCCACTCTCCCTGCACAGGTGTGGGCAGGACCCGGATGTGGAAGGATGGGTGGGATTGGGAAGGTGAAGAAGCAAAGAAGAGAACGTAGTGAGTGAAGGAACGCAGTGTCCACACCAGTTGGGAGCTTTCCCGCCAGCGCCTGGTGCTCTCTCTCTACCTCCCGCACCAGAGTGGATGTGGAACTCAGCATGAATTTAGACGTATCCCACACACGCCACTCCTGTAAAAGTCAGTCAGTAGACTTTGCAGAGGCATTTTGTTAATGGTACAGAGGAAGGGGCTTTATCCCTCACTCTCCACAGCTGGCAATGGCAAAGGCCAGGGTAGCTCTGCTCCTCTATAGGGGTTCTTTTTGCTAACCTCCCCTGCAGAGTTTCTCAGACAGCCTCTTCCTTTATGGTGTCCATCTCTTTTTAAAATTTAAAAAAAATATATTTTTATTGATTTCAGAGAGGCAAAGAGAGGGAAAGAGAGAGAGAAACATCAATGATGAGAGAGAATCATCGACCAGCCGCCTCCCGCACGCCCCCTGACCAGAATTGAACCTGGGACCCTTCAGTTTGCAGGCCGACACTCTATCCACTGAGCCAAACTGGGCAGGGCCGCAGTGTTCGTCTTAGTGGCTGAAATTTCATCTCCCAGATCCCCCGTCCTTCATTTTACAATACCCCACTTCTCTGCCCCCCATCAGATTCACATACCCAGAGCTGTTGGCTGTCATCTATATATATAAAAGCCTAATATGCAAAGTGTCCCCTTGGGAATTCAACTAACCAGGAGTTTAATCCTTCGCTATGATGTGCGCTGACCACCAGGAGTAGTGCAGAACGAAGGGAGGCCCAAGCTGGCAGCTGGCTGCTGGGGAAGGGAGGCCCTGGCCAGCAGCTGGCAGCCACTAGGGACCCTACCTGTGCATGAATTTCGTGCACTGGGCCTCTAGTACTGTTAATAATGAGTCCTACATTGGAATCCACACCCTTGTAATATTTTTACCTCTTGCACTAGTGAGGGGTAAGGAATCATGAAGCTTCAAATTCCAGAATAAAGTATCAGGACTTTGCGCTATTAACAACAAGGAACCTTTGAAGGGTTATGGGTAGGAGATGCACATAATAAAGAAGGTAATGCGTTCTATTTGTGTTTGATAGAAATAAAGTTTTATTGGTTCAGGTTTCTCTAGGCTACTATACCCTATTTTACTCTTTCTTGTCAATTTTCTCCCCAAGATATAGTAAAAATTGATTTCCATTAAGAGCGATTCTCTCTCTTTATTCCCTTACTCTTATACAAGAAACTGAAATATTAGTTCCCTGAATTTTCTTGCCCATTTTACCGTGACAACACGCTATGGATGCCACTTTCACTTTCTGTCCTTACTATATTTTTATGTGCACACATTTTATTCTTTTTTTTCCTCCCTTCGTGGCCTCCAGAAGTCATAATCTGAATTTTATTTCTCAAACGAGAGAAGGCTCGCGTTATACCTTTTAAAAGGTAAGCCTTTTAAACCCTTATTTTCAATCCCTAGAAAAATTAACATGTGGCATAATGAATGCAAGCCCTCCCTTTTCTACTATCAATAAATCTAGGGTCAGACTTACAGTCTAAAGCAATTTGGCATTTTTATTGTTTTCTCCTTCATCCCCCAGGTTTATTGCAGTTTCTGATTTAAGCTCCTGTGACGGGCAAACCTAGAACAGTGCTTCATTTTCCACAGGGTTCCTCTGTGTGCATGGATCCTGAAGCTTACACATGTGAACCACAAAAAAAAAAAAAAAAAAAAAAAAAAAAAAAAAATCTACACATAATGAAACTTTCAAGGAAAATATTTGTATATTTTTATTGGACCTTTTGAATATATCCATCTTGTAATGAAAGATGATTACCTTCTTAGGAAATTGCTTAGAAGCAAAAAAAGAAAAGAAAAAAAAAAAGAGAGAGAGAGAGAACATTTCCTAGTTTGTCTCTTTATATGATACTAGAGGCCTGGTATACTAAATTTGTGCACTTGGAGGGGGGTCCCTCAGCCCAGCCTGAGCCCTCTCACATTCTGAGAGCCTTCAGATGATGTCTGACTGATGCTTAAACACTCAGTCAGACATCCTTAGTGCTGCCGTGGAGGCGGGAGGGGCTTCCGCCACTGCTGCTGTGCTCACTCGGGGCTTCTAGCTGAGCAGCACTCCCTGTGGGAATGCACTGACCACCAGGGGGTAGCTCTTGCATTGAGCGTCTGCCCCCTGGTGGTCAGTGCACATCATAGCAACCAGTTGTTCTGCCGTTCTGTTGATTTGTTTATTAGGCTTTTATTATTTAG